TTCATTAAGCATATAATTACTAACAGTCTTTTCAATGGATACAGATAACTCACTTCCTAGAACCTTTGAAACAAAAAATTGAAGGGCAGTAATTTATTTTTCTTATGCTTTATTCCCCAATAATGTATTTTTCTATTTTCATATATGCTATATTGTAAATATTACACTGTCAGATTCAGACTGATCTTGGGGGAATCATTAACTCTTCTGAGCCTATTTATTCATCTATAAAATGCAGAAAATACCCTCTTTCTTGGGTACCTTCTTTCTGCACTTGCTTTAAGAATTACATCTAATCATGGATGTTGTGTGTAAGCTTTTTATAAGCCACAATGCACTATGCAAATATAAATTATTTCTGTTGCTCTGGGTATAGCTTAATGTTATCAAATTAATGGCAAACATTATCTCTGAGTAGAGTGATAATAACCTTCTGTGTTCACCATGGCATCTTCTATTTTCAGAACCATATGCTACATCTTATTATGTTGTCATAAATATGTACAGAAGATGGGCTGATTGTGCCTGAGATGATTAGTCAATATTATTTCACATGCCTGGAGAAGGAAAATTGAAGACCAACTTCTTGCTATGGGACTAGACTTCAGATCTTGATAAACTTGTCAGGAGTGTTACACTTCCCTATATGTTGAAAAAGCCTAATCTAATTAATTGATAGCGTCAAATGCTTTTGTACAGTTAATGAAAAAAATATACAGCCTGAATACTGTTTATGACTTTTATAATGAGCAACTTTGTGCATGTACTGCATCTCAGAGCAGTGATCTATTCTACAAGCACATCAGTATTGCCGAAGGCTAGAGGAGCCCTAGAGGACTCTGGCCACGATCTTCTCAACAATCAGGGAATTGCCTTTTGCTTCTTTAAAATGAGTTACACTGTATTTCCTGAAGTGTAGGCTAATGTTCCCAGGCATGTGAATTATGATACACTTTTGTCAAACATCTGTTCCCTTTTAGATAGCAATGTGTATGCCATGCCATTTTCTCAAGTTGTGTTCTTTAGAAAAAATTAAAATTTCTAATACAGCGATCTGCCAGTTTCATCCTGGGAAAGCAACAAAGATAACAAAAGCAGGTAGATATGTAATACCACCATGGCAAGAGAAGATATATTTATCATCTTACAAGAAAAAAAAATCAGTGGATTGATTAAAATATAACTTGTTGAAGTGAAGAAGGTAAAATAATAATAAAACAAAACAAAACAATATACTGTGGAAAATTAGAAAACAATAAACTTAGGTTCAGGCTTGATTCAATTCATGATTTCATTTGCTTATTCAAGTAGGGAGAATTTATTACAAGCCACACAGATTATAATAATTTTCTGAATTTAATTAGCACTATTTTTGGCAATTAAGGTGTATGGTTGTAAATGTCCATAAAAATTGAAAATACATATATGAATAACAAAGATATATATTAAAACTGAACATTAAGATAAAAATATTTAAAAAGTATGTACAGGGGCACCTGGGTGGCTCAGTCGTTAAGCGTCTGCCTTCAGCTCGGGTCATGATCCCGGGGTCCTGGGATCGAGCCCCACATCGGGCTCCCTGCTCAGCGGGGAGTCCGCTTCTCCCTCTCCCTCTGCCTGCCGCTCTGCCTACCTGTGCTCTCTCTCTGTCAAATAAATAAATAAAATCTTTAAAAAAAAAAAAAGATAAAAATATTTAAAAAGTATGTACAAAATTTTAGGATGTAGGCTATGCAAATTTATGTAAGTACCCATATAATTATACATGTGTATGTGTGTTTGAACACACTCATCACATCCATTCTTACTTCTAAGAATCCTGAAAGATAAAATGGATTTTTCATGTTTGAACCAAAGTTTTGAAGACAGACACAAAAACGAAAATGAAAAGAAAGCTGTTGCTAGAAGCCACTCGGGTGATATAGATGTCCTGGCCTCCCTGCAGACCCATGGTGAACACCTGACCTTCTCGGAGGCTCCACCTCTATAATACTAAAGGGTGACTTGTGGGATTCAAAATGAAGATGCTGCTCAGCTCCAAGCTAAATCTGAGATTAAAATTTGTTTGGCATAGACTTAGTTTTTAGAATATTGTATCACATTCTAGATCTTCAGCCATTGCTAAGTCTAATAATCACAGGCTTCAATTAGCTATGGCATGGCATTAAGCAAGACCGCTCACCCTAACCACTCTAGAAAAATAAGTTTACTTTAATGAAACTCAACACCAGTGATGAGTGTTTTGTGGCAGCATAGTTCCAAACTTTCTCTTGACTCTTTTCATGTATCCCCAGCCCCTCCAGCCCCACCACAGTCTAAAATACTGCACTGCCTTATCTCACCTGGACCACGGAAATAGCCTCCTCCCTGTTCTCCCTACAGACACTATGGAGCAGCTCTAATCGCTTCTCCACATTACGCCCAACTTCGTCTTTACAAAATGCACATCTGATCATGTCATTCCACAGGCCTAGAAAATTTCAAAGCCTTCCCATGGCTCTTAGCAAGATCAAAACACAGGGCCTTCTGGTCCAGCCCCAGCCTCCCTTTTGTGCAGGTGCACCACTCTGTCACTCTATGGCTCTTTCTTGGTTCTCCGGTTATATGAGCTTTCTTTTAATTCCTGGGGCATACAATATAATCACCAATGAGAGCAGGTTTTTTTTGTGTACAGAGTGTCCTCCACTTGAAATCGTCTCTTCTCTGTTCCTACCCCCACCTTCACCTAGTTCATCCCTACTGATCCTTCAGCTTCCAGCTTAGGCACCGTGACTTCTGTCATGTGCTCTCCACACCACCAGCTACGTTTCATAGAGTGACTATCTGATTAATGTCAGTCTCTCTTGCTAGAACATAAACTCCATGAGACAAAGGGATTGTGTCAAGTTTTTTTTTTTTTTTTTTTGCTGGAATAAAAAAAATATCAGAAAGAATAAAAAAGACAATGCAGTTTGCCTAAATCCTACCTGAGTTTATTTTGCCTAGGTACTACCTGCAGTTCACTGAATTGTTTCTTTAGATGGTCTAGATTCTACATGCATCTTTTAAAAAAGCATATACTTTCAACAACAGCCAACACGCTCTTGGAAGTTTCAGAAAATGACTCAAATAAGAACCATTAAGTGACTTTCTATAGCATCCTGACAAGTTTCTGTACAAGCTCAGCCAGTAAGCAATTGTTGGTGGACTCATCTGCTCGGTATCACTGTGTTTTAATTTAAATTTCCTTTTCAGGAAGTGTTTTTAATGTCACTGGATATGCGGAAATCTGTTCTGAATTTATATAATTTAACATCAGTCTTAAAAGTTAGCGATTTATGAAGAACTGTGACTTGATGATGGTTTAGAACATTTTTCCCTCCTGACAGGAGACCGATGCTGGGAAAAATAAAACATCCCAATTCTCATTAATGGAAACAGAGCTGAACACACAACTGTAGCTGTTGAAGCCTACTGAAAGTGCCAGGAAATTCTAAAAGCAAAAACAAGGTTGGGCTGGCAGATTAATGTGCCTGAAATATAAAACCATGGAATTTCTAATGTTAATGGACATTTTGGTCAGTATTTATCTAGGCACTTTTATGTTGTATATTATAGAAGAGATTAAATAGACGAATGCTCACTTTACAAAGCTAGATATGAAGGTGCATTCATATGCCACCTACCCAGTTTCCAACTTTTGGAGGCACCCTTGAGGCTTATAATTCTATTTACTAAAAATAATGAGCCCACATATTTCCTCTGTTATGGAAGAGTGAACCTGAATAAAATTTGCTGAACTAATTAATGCCTATTTATGCCAGAAGAGTCTCAGGTTGGATTTAGGCCATCTCGAAAACCCCTCCCGTTCTTCATCCAGCAATCCATTTATTCATTTAACAATCATTGAGCATCTACTTCATTATTTATTTATTTTTTTTTGCAGGAGCTCATGAGCTGGTGGGAAAACTAGGAGGTAAGGCAAAGCAGATAATGTACAATATAAACAGGAAACGCTCCCCTGCAGATAAATACCAACTTCTCTTAGAATGCACCTGTAGGGAAGCAGTTGCCCAGGCATCTCCTTTGGTGAGTAATACAAAACTGCATCCCATCACCCCATCCACCCTAGCTCAGATTTAGTCAGCTTTGGTCAGCTCTGCTTTCCCCACACGCTTACAATTGCATGGCCAGGAGCTTCAGGTAAGCCTGCAGGGTTACCCTACTCAAAACAATTCCAAGCTTTGTCCCCTCATTCCGTTGTTGTGTGGGCCTCATGGTGCTTCTGAGCACTGGGGAACTTTATCAACAACCCAAGGTATATCCAATGTCTTAAAGAATGTCGTTCAGCTTTTGAAAAACATAATTTATATTTATTTAAGTTTAACTGTTAAATTGATCATAGAGTATACTCAGGTATGTATTATGGAATCAGAAGCACGACAGAAAGCTCCTCAAAGGAAGCCTTCGATTTTTGTACAAAGCAGACCATTGGCAAACGTTGGTTAAATTGTTGAACGAATTGCTGTATATCTCATGAGAAAACGAGCCTTTCTGAACTAGAGTATTGATATTTATTTGAAATCCAAGGGGCCAAGGACTCTAAGAGAATTGTTCTGTCCCTGCATAGATTCTAAAAATTCTTCTGGCCAAGAATGTTACCTCCACGTAGGATACTAAGGAAAACTGTGACGAAGGTAAAAGTTGTCTGTGCCTCCCTTTAAACTCCCCATTGGGTACCACCCTGCCCCATATTTAGTCATAAAACAATGTAGATTTATTGAGCACCTACTACCTGCCAGGCCCTCTTCTAAGTGTTGGGGATACCCATCACTGAAAACAAACTGACATCCTACCTCGTCTCTCTATTCGAGATTCTTTTAATGAGTACCCTGTACCTGGAACTCTATTACTTGGAACAGTGACGTAGACATTTTGCATGGCACCTACCCCTAAGTGAAGCTGTTCACACCCATGATACAATAGGAAAGCAGAAATTACAAAGGTACCACTTATCTTACCTTGTAAGGAATTGAAGATGGAGAATAGGTACATAAAAGGGATGTGTAAGGGTCCCCAGGCAAAGGAAGCAAAACCCCACGTCATGCCCAGCAGAAATGTCAGGCTGACCACACTGCGCAAGTTCCTTAAAACCTCTTCACGCAGGGTCCGGTTGCTTCTCTTGCCATTCCTCCCACAGATTTGCACCATTACCACGATGAACATGGCAACATTCAGGAAAAACATGACTCCAAAATACCCAGCGCAGGTCACATAAAATACGACTGGATCCTGAATCCAACAGCTTAAAGAAGAAGAAACCAGAAAGAAAAAGAGATTTATTGCCATGTCCTGTTTACCGAAGACTTCTCCTGGCTTAGTTTGGGTTTCTGCAGATTTCACAACTGGACCTTTCTCAAAGCCTTTAGACAGTCACTTCATTTTCCTGGGCCTCAGTTTCTTTTCTGATGTTTACACAGTTTTTTTTTTTTTTTGGATTGTTTTGGATAGCCATCATCTTAATATCGAGTTATTTAAGTCAACAGTTAAAAAGAAAACAAGGTGGCTTCTTGAATTCTGACTTGGCATGAAGACACTTGTGGTTGGCTCACCCGAAACCATGTCTCGCCCCCTTTTCTCTTATGTGACTGCACTCCAGAGAATGGGAAATTTAAGTACTTGTTTTCTCAATCTCTTTTGCATTTAAGGGGCAGCCACGTGGACACTGTTCCACGAAATGATATGGAGGCAAAATCTGCTAGGGGATTTTTGGGAGAGGCCCTTATTTGTTCTTTCTGCTTCCACCATGAAAGCAAGCTCTGGAGCTGCAGTAACCACCTTTTATCTTTGAGAGAAAGGCCAGGATCACTGCAGAGTTGCTGGTCTTGACATTTTCAGCCATAAAACCAATGGCAGTAGCCGCCTACTTCCGTATCTCTTGTTATGTGAGAAGAGTAAATTCCTACTTAAGACACATGTAATCATGAATTCCATTACTGCTGCAAAATAACTCCTAGTAATATAATTGACCTAGTTGAGGCAAGACTTTATTATAGAACTGTGATATTCCTATAGTGACACTCCTCATGAATAGTTAGAAAGCTTACACCAATTACAACATCTTTACGAGGTGAGGAAGGACATACTTCATATTCAGAATTATATACACACACAAACACATATATCAGAAAATAGATTAAAGTAATTTAAAAATTGTACCATGTGTAAAGGGTTCTATGAGTAAAGTCCACACACCACAATTTGCAGATGCCCCAGTGCCTAATTAATACTATGTGAGTTCTTAGGTACCTCAAAAATTGGATAAATTATTTAAAGCTATTAAATTCATCTAAAAAGTCTCGTGAAAATGGTTATCATTCTAGGTTATGTATTCCACACTAGAACATGACAGCCACAAAGGCAGAAGCTGTCTTGAACATCTTTGAATCCCAGAACCTACCATGATTCCTGGCATATCATAAATGCTCAGCAAATGAGACTGTTGATGGTGCAGCAATTTACTAACTGTATTATAAAGTCCTGTGAGAGTTGACTAACATACTTGTAAAATTCCCTTATTTGGGACTGATGCACTGACTTCTACTTTTAATGTATCTTATTATAACAATCCCCAAAATGACGCTGCTTGTCTCTGGAGCTAATATTCCTTTACATTTGAAGTCCCTTAGAATCCCAAATTTCCTGACCTAGCTCTTTTGTTTTCTACTAGTTCTTGTGGGGTTTTTTGAGTGCTGTTTTGGAACTAAAAGAGAAGGGAAGTCCATGAGGGAATGGGACCCAGGTCGGACATGGACTAGATATGAAAATGTTCTCTATCCATGAAACGTGCACAGATATGTGATCTCACGGGTCTCATCTCAGGAGTAAGCTCTGTATGCATTCAATAATTCATTCAATCAACAAATATTTATTGCATACCTATTATGGGCTAGAAAAGATAAGAGAGAACTGCCAAAGGTGAACAATATCCAGATCTTGGCCTCTATGATCCCACAGCCAAATACAAATACTGATTTAATTTTCTTGAAGATGTGTGTGGGCCTAAGGAGGGGGAGTATTGTGGAATCCCTTCAAGCAGGACGGGTCTTCTGAGCTGAGAGGACCCTATCTCAGACCTTCTCTGCAGTCCGCCAGATGACAGAGCGCAGGTTAACGTGGGGAAGCAGCTCAAGCAGTCCGGGCGCCCAGCTGAATTCAGCTGTGGAGCAGCAAAGACCTCAGCGAAGGCAGGCAAGCGCATTTTCAACCTTCCAAACTAGGAGGCTCACTACTGGCCTGGAAACTATGCATCACACTCTAGGAAGCAAAGGATATACACTCATCACAAACAAATTTCCAACAAGTTGTTATTACTTACAATTCATCACCTTGTTCTTTTCCGTAACTTTCTTTTCCATAGACCTCATTTTGGTTTCTGCTTGCCAGAACAATGGACACGACTAAGGCTGGCAGACCTGTTACAGAAAGACCATGACATAAGCACGTGGAGCATCTGGAACTGCTTTATAAGACTGATAAGGGCAAGGGGAAAAAAAAAGAGAGAGAGAGAGAGAAAGAAAACCCTCCACATCACAGAATTTGTTTTAGAACTGGCAATTTGCTTAAAAGCAACAATACAATCCCCTCTTTGGTGTGGAACATCCAACTCTAACTGGCAACACTTGAAACCCATTCTTAAATGACAGATATTTAAATATTGTGTTTGCTAACTGTTACTCATTAGACACCCAGAACCTGGTTTATTCTGAATCCAGAAGCAAATGTGCTTCATTAATGACAACTGCCATTCTGCCAGGGTTTGGGCAGTGAGAGAACTGCAGTTTATTTGGCCCCTTTCTATGGAAAGAAAAGTCTTCAGAAACAGTGGGGGAGAGACCATGGGGCCGTGAAGTTTTTACAGTCTCCTCTTTTCTCTCCAGAGAGTCAATAAAACATTTTCGTATATATTTCACTGGGGAAGACCACAGCACCCTAATTCCTTGGAGGATGATTTTAGTGCCAAACGCCTTGGAAATGTCCCATACATCTATATTGCCATCTGCAAAAAAAAAAAAAAAAAAAAAAAAAAGCAAGCTGCTCTAAATGCTTGCTCCAATATGAAGCCAGATAAAGAAAGGAGCCTATTTAGGAGATTCCAAACAGGCTAAGGCTACCCTCCATGTTTGGCTGAGGAATCATGTTAAGAAGTTCAAGGCAAGAATTTTGTCAGTATTCTGGTTGCACACACACAAGAAACCTTCTCTCGCTGGATCCAAGACATGCGCATGTCTGCAGGGGGTGAGGACCACGAGGAGCCTGAGTGGCCCCTTCTATTTTGAAACATAATGGAAATGCACCACGGTCTGTCAACTGCTTCTTCAAACTTTTGCCAGGGTGGCCTGGCTCTGGTCACCGGAAATAAGTTTGCGGTGACTCAGGAGGCTAGGGCTTTTTCCTTTACTCCTGAATTTAGTAAGGATAGCTGAAGAGACTTAAAAAATACCATTCCGAGGAAGCCCCTGCCTTGGGATGTGTACATCGAATCCACGTCATTCACAATTTTGAAGTTTCTTTCCGCAGCACTAAAATCTTTCAGAATAGGATTTTCCTATGAGAGACGGGAGATTTCCCTGACAGTGAAAACAAAACCAAAACTGTTTAGGAGGCTTACCCCAGCCAATGATGCAGAATTTCAGTATATATCTGCGAATGTAAGTATTAAATACTTTAACCAGGGCAATGTACATGTGAATTGCTTCTAGCCCCATCCAGGTGAAGGTTGCGAGGAGGAAGAAATGGAGCAGGACAGCAATGGCTGTGCAAAGACCCTCCACGTGAAACGAGGCGATCCAGCCATCCAAGAGGAAGAGGAGGTTCAGGAACAGCAGGGCTGTACTCAAGTTCATCAGGATTTTGGAGGGATAGTCCCTTCGCAATTTCCTGAAAAGGGGAAGAAAGAAAGAGGAGAGGAATACTGTAAATTAATCTTTTAAGCACAGGCAGTAAATTCACATGGCTCCACTAAGAGGAGGAGATTTGTGTTTAATTAGGAGTTTTTAAAGATTTTATGAGTACTCGGCAAATTATAAAGTTTTTTTTTAATTTTCTTAAAGATTTTTATTTATTTATTTGAGAGAGAGAGAGAAAGAGAGAGAGAGAGCATGTACAAGCAGGGAGGGGGCAGTGGGAGAGGGAGCAGGGAGCCTGACATGGGGCTCGATCCCAGGACCCCGGGATCCTGACCTGAGCCGAAGGCAGATGCTTAACCTACTGAGCCACCCAGGTGCCCCTAAAGTATTTTTAATATTAATTTGATTTCAAAACCATTTCCAATTGTTTATCAAATTTCCAATTAGTTTCAACGGATTTTTTTTTAATCCAGGAAAAATACTAGTCATAAAAATGAGATTTTTGTTAAAAAAACAATTTCCCTAAAATTTTCTGAAGTTTCTTTTTAATGAGGTAAGGCTCCTTTAAAAAAAAAAAAAAAGTCCTGTTGGGGTGCCTGAGTGGCTTAGTCGGTTGAGCATCTGCCTCTGCTTCAGATCATGATCTGGGGTCCTGGCATAGAGCCCTGCCTGCAGGGTTCCTGCTCAGCAGGGAGTCTGCTTCTCTCTCTCCCTCTGACCCTTCCCCTCTCTCCCCTGCTCATGCTCTGGGGCGAGCTCGCTCTCTCTCTCTCTGACTGAATAAATAATGAATGAATAAATAAATGAATGAAGGACTAAATAAAAAAATCTTTATAAAAAAGGGTTCCTGTTTCAGGACTAATTTTATAAGATCTGTGAAGTAAATATGTTCATATTTACCGTGCAAAAAGCACTTTATACAATTTTTATTTATATGTTAATCATCTCTTACAGGTTTAAATACATTTTATCCATAGACATACAATAATTATAAATTAAGATTCTATAGCGAGAAAATTTATATTGCATGATATATGTTATGAGAAACCTGAACATTAAAGTTGAACCACTCTACACAATTTGACAAGTAAGCATTTTTAAAAGCAAAGGCAATTTTCTTATTCACATTTTGGGACAGTTAGCACTAGGTTTTGACGGATAAAAAATACTTACTCAAAAGCAACATATGTGAGGAGAGTTGCTGCTGAAAAGATAGCAGATATCCCACACCCAATATAGGTGATGAAGGTGAGAACTTTGGTGTTTCTTGCATCTATTTGTGAGGCAGTTCCTTGAAGGTCCTACATAAATCATGGGAAGCAGCTGTTAAGAATCTCTCTTTTCACGGGAACGGTGTTTTATTAGAAAGTTCACTGCTAGCACTTACAATCTCAGCTTAATCTGAGGGGCTAAAAACAACAGTGCGAATCAATATGGAAGCTTCCATTTATTGTACTATTGCAGATCATTCCATGAAGCAAAAGTGTAGCATTATTGAGAGAGTTGCATGTTGTTCTCCATCATTACCTGATAATCCAAACTCTTTGCCCACCAGAATAGCCTGAAGAGCAAAACCACTCCCCCCACAAGTAACTGGGGAGAAGGTCACTGCCTCGCGTAATAAATGATCAGACCCATTGCTAACATTTGCAGGGCTAGGGACAGAAGTACAAATAGAAGCCACCATGGCCAATGTGAGCCCTCAGGCCTTGTCTTCTTTGTCCAGCAGGGAGGGGCTCAGCCAGTGGACAGCCAAAGACTGGTGCCCATGAGCTTAGTGCTGAAGATCTTAACTATGGTCATTTCAAAGCTTGGCATGTATTGGCTTGGGTGGTCTTTATTTTTTTATAAATGAGAAGCCATTACAGATTTTTAGATTACAGGGGTTTTGTTTGTTTGTTTGTTTTAATCCCTGTTGACCTGAGAGGGTACCATTTAAAGTGTTAGGGGTTGTGGAATGGAAAGAAGTAAACACTTTCTAGCATATTAACATGAAGCATTAATTTCACCGTGCAGAGGTAGACTTGTAAAGTCTGGGCCTGGGAGGGAAATCTTTCTTTCCTTCCTTAAATAGGGAATTGGGTTAGGGATAAATCTTGAGTTAAGACCATCCACTCAATCCTGGTTGGAGAAGAAAAGACACCTCCGTTATGCAGATGTTCAAAAATGGAGTCTTCTTGGAGAAAGGCCATATTCTAAAGGGGATATCTGGTTTAAAATTTTAGGTTTTAGATTATGAAAAAGAAAGTTTGCTTTATAAGCTTTTCATTTTATGTGTTAATTCTCTTTAATTTTCATCAACATGTCAATAAAATTTGTTACTCACATACAAAGCCTCCAGTAGGTGGTGTTTGCTTGTGAGTATATGTGTGTGAAATGATGACAGGAGATTCAGTCTGTGGTTTGGCTGAGGCAGTAAGAAACAGGTAACAGCACTTCTGTGGCTCCCAGGAATGCCCAGTGATCGAATTCCGCACACACAGGGGCTCTGGGGCAGAAGGTACTCAGCCTACCCTTCTCTCCCAGGACTCCCTCCAAACACTAGAAGGACCTGGGACTCCCCTGGCACATGGGATGGGGTTCAAGTCAGGGCCAGTGGACTCACAGATAGGTGACCCTGACCAACATTTTGGTTACTCCAGGATTTCATGGAGCAGAGAAATGGTCTTGAAGAATCTCCAGGTGACTTGTCCTTACCTCTTGAAAGACTTATGGCTCCCATCTAGGTGAGGGGGTGAACTTGCAAGCCACAATTAAAACCACAATTTAAAGTGTAAATTAAACAAAATAATGTTATTTACTATTAACACATTCACACACAACTCTCATGTTGTTTTGTACTTTTAGAGAATGAAGAATATGAAAATATTTATTCCTCTGAACTAGCCAACATAAAAATGTACTAATGTTAAAAGTATTAAAATCAGTTTTACTACTAGGAAATGTTAACAGAGGACATTAAATCCTCACAGATTTGTAGATTAGAAGATATAAGTATGGGTCTGGGGCACATTTTTTAACTTCCCATATGGTAAATGTGTCACAGGGCAATGTAGACTCTGGGAATATCTTATATAAGTGGATAGAGTTTGTAAATCAAGAAAGTCCCTTAGCGAAGCCTTGGTGGTCTGGAAAAGCTGAGAGGACATGGGTTCATCGCCAGGAAGGATAAATTCTGGAAAGTTTTTCTCCTAGCAGTTTATAAACTTCTAAGAGCAGCCAAGGTGAAAGGATAGTACTAAAAAAATGCATATATTCACATATAGGTAAAACCAATGATTTAATCAAATGGCAACAGAAAAATACACAATTACAAATTCATAATAAAATTCAAACAATATGTGAAGAGACTAACCAAAGTAACAGAAAGCCAAACTTTGGTTACATATAAATCACTGCTGTATACTGAATTGTATTACTCTTACCTATTTATCTAACCTTAGACCTACAACATACATAATCAAGCTCAAAGACACACGTGCACACACACATACATGTGTGCACATGCACATGCACACAATTCAAACAGCTAAATGAATTAAGCTAAAATTTACATAATACCTGAATGAATAATGATGCAAAGTAGGTGTTTTCTAAAAGAATGTCTACTGTCACCTTTGGAGAAAGAACATGGAAGTTAAAACTGAGTGTGTTTTGGGGCGCTTGGGTGGTTCAGTTGGTGAAGCGTCTGACTCTTGATTTATGCTCAGGTCATGATCTCAGGGTCTTGAGATAGAGCCCTGCATCGGGCTCTGCGATCAGTGTGGAGTCTGCTTGAGATTCTCTCTCTCTCCCTCCCCAGCTCATGCTATCTGTATCTCTCTCTAAAATAAATAAATAAAATCTTAAAAAAACAAAACAAAACTGAGAGTGTGTTTGTTTTACTTAGGGAAAACATGCTATAGTTTAATTGTTCATTTTCAGGCTCTGGCAGTAAAGAAAAATATTTATATTTTGGGAAAATTAAAAAGTTATTTGCTATGATTGCTGCCTTTTTCAATGACTTGTTTTATCCCTCGGAGGATTTTTGCAGTAGGCTGTCAAGAAAATCACTTGCAAGATGGCCATATGACAATGGCCATTTACATCGGCCAAGAGGGTTCATGAGCCGAAATGCCACATCCCACAGCCCCTACTGCTCCTGTCCAGTTCCATGGGAAGTGGGGGTAAGATCTAAGGGAGGGGATAAACATAACCATGGTGTCAGTGATTCAAATTCAAAAAGCTTTACTGTCTGAGCATACATGACTGCCATCATCATTTTAAAAAGCAAATGTGGTTTGATCCTTGGGAACTATACCAAATACCAGAAACAACAGTTCTGTTATAATCTGGAGGATGCAATGCACACCAGAAAAGTATCTGCAAAAACACATGTCTATGAGATATAAGACAGAGGTATAAGTCTATGGATGAATTCAAAGGAGTTGTTAACATGGAGGGTGGCTCTGAGAAATTTGGTGGGATGAAAAAAACAACATGTAGATGTGATCTAATTTTTGTTTAAAACTGTCAGACAAGCTGGCTAATGAGATAAAAATAGGGCCTTGGGAAAGATGGAAGGAAGGAAGGAAAGAATAAGATGAAGACCTAGTGGTAAGAGACATGTCACACCTCTCTCTTCTCTTGCAGGCCTGAAGACTCCATGCTGTCCTGGTCCTAGTCTGTCCTAACAGGCTGTGGTCTCTGGGGGAAGGCGGCGGGGGGGGGCGGGATGCATCATTTTGGGTGACAGCTGGGTCACCTAGCATAGTACCTGCTATAAAGTCACATTCAATCCAATGATTGATAATGCCAAAACAATATTTTATCAAAATTTTCACAGTTCCCTTCTATGTTAGTAAAACCCAACATTATTTTCCTCTTTAACTTTTCTCTCTCTCTTTCCCTCCTTTCCTCTCTCTCTCTCTCTCTCTTTTTTTAAAGATTTTACTTATTTATTTGACAGAGAGAGAGAGAGCAAGAGCAGGAACACAAGCAGGGGGAGTGGGAGAGGGAGAAGCAGGCTTGCCGCGGAGCGGGGAGCCCAATGTGGGGCTCGATCCCAGGACACTGGGATCATGACCTGAGCTGAAGGCAGACGCTTAACGACTGAGCCACCCAGGTGCCCCTCCTCTCCTCTTTCTTAATTCAAGAGTCTCATGGTGATTTTATCATCGCTGTTAATGCTACAGAAAAAAAAATAAAGTGGGGTTCTTTTTTATAATTATTGTTACATATTTTAAATATGTGATCTCTGCTAATTAGCAAGATTCAAGGTACAGATACCAATTATCAGGAAATAATTCCCAAAATACATAATCTAAAAAGGCTGACTTACAAAAAGAAGTATGCCTTCCCAAATTATATCATTTCAAAATGAGTTTAGAAATTCCTCCCCTACCATCAGAACTCCAAAGTGTGTGAGGTGGTTACATAAGCAGACCGTCTCGCTCTCATCTGAATCTCTGTGTGCCATACATCCTGACGTGTTCCAAAATCCAGAACCTTCTGTAAGAGGAAGTCCACAAACATTGTGAAAATAACAGCAGGCCAGTTCCTTTTCTATAATGGATGATATCTTCTTTAGGAAAATATGCCTCAGTCTTTTCTGCCTTGCAGTTTATCACTCAAACAGATACTATTTATTCTTAAAGCTGCCAATACTTAGAATAATTGAGATTCCTGGAATCACAGAATGTTAGTGCTGGATTGGCAGCGAGAGATTATCTAGTCAGTGGTTTTCAACTGTGCTCTACTGAAGATCCTGCAAAAGTTTGATTCTAGTTTAACTTTTAATGTATTACAAAATAAACTTCCATGAAAAGAGTATCCCCCTTTCAAATATGCTACATACTAATGAAGTCTCTGAAGATCAACACATTTTTTCCCCTTGTTTCAGCCTCTACTTTTGTAAAGACATCAGAACTAACAGAGGTCAGTGTTCTAACACGCTGTTATGTACACAGCAATCACGCGCAGTGGCAACATATTATAAATGCCTTTAATGCATCTTATCTGACTTTTATGGTAGGATGTGGAATATGAGCAACTCATATATTTGAAGAATATTTTAAGTCTGCAAGGTGATTTCATTTTTAATTATGTATCCAGTAATCCACTTTCTCAAAACTGTGCAACTAGAAACCAAACAACAACAAGATTTTCCAGTTGTGATAAGGTGTATCAAAAACAGAGGTTGGGACACCTTCAGACTCCCTTTCTACCAAGAAGCAGCCTGTGCTGGTGCTGGTTTAGAGTTAGTCAGGATAATCCCACTGGGGATCCCCAAGGGAAGGTGACCCTTAGGGGGCAGAGGAGGGAGTTTTCATAGCTTGTCCTTCCCATCAAAGAGATCCCCACAACTTATACCTAGACTTCTCCCTTAATTTTGCCTTTTTCTCTTAATTGTCGAATGTCATTTTGGAGGCAGTTCATTTCTTTCAAGCAATATATATGTATTATAACCATTTCTTATTTATAGTCCTTTAGAATGCTTTCCCCATAATCTGAGGACTGGCAGCTAGATTCTAAATTGCACGCCTCATGCATATTAATGATCTCCTCAGAGGTGTCCTTAAAAGAATGAGATCAAGCATATATCGATATTCATCTAAAAGTGGCAATCAAAATGCACACTGTATTTTATAAATAACTGAAATCAAAGAGGTGGTTTGGTAAAAAAAAAAAAAAAAAAGTCAAGTTTACTTATTTCTTCTTGCAATGAGTAAAAAGTTGCAGAAATTCGGTTCACTTCCCCAACTACCTAAACTAAACTTTGCAGTTCAGTTGTCATCACAATTACACTGTGACTCACTCTGGCTGGGGTGGAATGAAAGGAAACGGGGGTGTCTAACAATGTTTAAAATTCAGTTGTTCTTAAGACAGCCAATATTTTAAAACTTACCGTTTTTGTTCAGATCCCAGAAGGCACAGATGGGATGAGGCACTGCCTATATTAACATAAGAATAAACATGCGAAATTATGTTTAAAATAAGTGAAAAATCTTATGATCTGAATATGGGAAAAGAGTCAAAATGCTAAGGTTTTCTACAAAGAAAGAGACCAGTATGAGCGTTGCCAGTACGACCTAGGAATGGCAGGCCGTCCAGAAGCATCTCCTCTCACGGAGACTTCAAGTGGAAATCAACTGTGACCTCATGAGGAGTCGTGCTTCCCATTTATCTAAAGGTTACTATATATGTCCCACCATAAAATGCTATCTTTAGCATTTATCAAAGCTCTTTACATTGTAACTTCACTTCATCTTCAAGTTTCTCCTTTACGTCTATGTGCCTGGAATTCAAAGTAGGGATTCAAACAGATATTTTGAACATCCATGTTCATGAGCAACATTACTCCCAAGAGCCAAAAGGTGGAAGCAATCAAAGTACTCACTGATGGATGAATGGATTAAAAAATGTGGGAGATATACATACACATATATAGGGAATATTATCCAACCTTAAAAAGGAAGGAAATTCTGGTACATGTTATAACATGGACGCACCTTGAAAAAGATTATGTTAAATGAAATAAGCTAGTCACAAAGGACAAATACTATAGGATTCCAATTATGTGAGGTGCCTAGAATGGTTAAGTTCACAGAGAGGGAGAGTAAAAGGGTGGTTGCAGGGGCCCAGGGGAGGGGAAATGGGGAGCTACTATGTAATGGTCCATGGTTTTGGTTGGGAAACATGAAGCAGTTCTGGGGATGAATGGTTCCATGGGCGCAGAACAACGGCAATGCACTAAAATGTCACAGAACGGTACACTTAAAAATGGTGAAAATAGTAAATATTATGTAATGTACATTTTACCACAATAAAAAAATTCTTCATGGATGAAGGAGCTGAAACAAAGGAAGCCAAAGGGTAGAACAAGGACGTCTCAGAGGGCTGGGTGACAAAGCCAGGCTAGTTCTTAGATGACCTAACTTCCAAGCCTCAGTCCTTATCAGCCAGCTTCCTTCCTGCCTGCCTTCCTGCCTGCCTCATACATGGGAGAATCACGAGTGGTGCCCTCTGGAAAAGAGGGGAGACCCTTGCCTGGCCTTCCCTGGGACCAAAGGTACCCCCATATAATTTTATCAAATAAACAGGTGATAGCAAGGGTAATGAGGCAACAAAAAAAAAAACATTTGCCAAGATTCTAGATAACTGCTAACCTCTCAAAAAAATGAGTCAACCCTGCCCTGTTTCCCTTCTGCTTTCCCAGTAGCAGTAATTTCTGACTTAAAAAAAACAAACCCAAGCCTTTTAATGGCAGGATTGTGCAACAGCATCTGCATCTAATTTCTCAAAGTAATGTATCGTTCCTTAAAAGGAAAAGAGGGGTCCTCTTCTTCACTCTCATTATTCTGATGACTGAATCCTAGAGGGGAACAATTCCCCCGTTTGCCAACACTTACCGTGACGTTACAGCACCACCTGCTTAACTGTTCTCCCCGTTTTGGAAAATTGCCCCCATCAAAAAAGTGCTGGTAGAATAAAGTTCTTACCATGTAGGGGAAAAAAAAGGCCCCACACTTCTCTGTAATAGTCTGCCTCTGTTCCATTGTCCTTTGTAGCATTTTCTTACCTGGTTTCTCATATGTTTGATTTTAATTCGAACAGGGTCCTTCAGACCCTGGATAGTAATGTTTCCAATACTGCATGCCATCACATAACTCACTAAGGTGCCTTTCTTGGTTTCTACATCCTTTCAAAGAAAAAAAAAATGGATTATTAGTCAGAAGTACACTTGTATTTGATTTTGGTGCTCCCAGACACGCAAACTGTCAGCACTTTTTACATTTAAGATTTTCAATTAGAGAACATCCTGTTTATAAGATCAAACTGCTGGCTTTCCTGAAAGAGCTTTGCTATTTCCCTTATTATAATAAATACATTGAGGGAACATTATGAGCTGATGCTGTAAGGCAATGTTCATAAAACCTCACTCTTGATTGCTATGACTGATGTCAGCCAGTTATCGTCTGAAACAATACGAACCCAGAAATAATGGACTCATAAAAAGCCATGAAACAATTAGATCATTTCCCTGCCCTAGAAAACAGATGAAGTTGTTTGCTGTTAGAGAAGTATAAAAGAAATACGGTGTGAAAAATTAAAAAACAACAATTCATCTTTCACATCCGTGCCAACAGCCTGATGTGTTTAGTAACATAATTCTACTAGATGAAGGTCCCATCCAAAACTTTTTTTTTTTAAGATTTATTTATTTCAGAGAAAGAGAGAGCGACCGCAGGTGTGGGGGCAGAGGGAGAGGGAGAGAATCTTATACAGACTCCATGCTGAGCGTGGATCCGAGGAGGAGGGGCTCAATCTCATGACTCTGAGATCATGACCCTGAGATCGTGACCTGAGCCAAAACCAAGAGTCAGACACTTAACTGACTGCATCAACCAGGCGTCCCCCATCCAGAACTTCTTCCTTCTCTGATTGTATACCTGCCACCCTCTGTAGCTTCCCCTTCAGAGACAAGGTTGTCAGGATAGCAAATCAGTGAATCCATGCTGCAAAATGATTGAGGCCAACAGCGTGTCTCTCGGCAAGACCATCTCTTACTCCTTCTTCCCTTGTGTTTTTCTTGTCAAACCTCCTGTATTTCTCTATTGCAGCTTATAAATCAGTTTTTGGGAATAATTACAGGATTTCTTAAATGCCAAATAAATCTCAGCAATTCAGAATTCAGAATATAGGTTTTTATTACTTATGTGTGATCGTGTTCAATAAAGTTGGTAATGGCTTGTGGATAATGGCCTGTGGATATCCTGTCTTTTCTTTAAAAAAATACTCATACCTTGTTCACTATGTTAGGGGAGTACCAGAGAACCCTTAAAATCTTTTGACTCTGCTATAAATTTACTTTAAAAACCAAACATGTGTTTCCTGATAATATGTTGATTGGGAGATGCCAAGAGAGAAGGGAAAGGTAGTGTGCAGAAAACAGACTCAAAATGAAACAACGACAGATTCTTACAGTTCAAACCTTTCTCCCAAACCCCCTCCCTCTGGGCTCAACCGCTCCTCTGAGCAGAGCCTCCTCCACCACCCATCACATTTTTGTGACACATACTGCATTTTTTGTTTTGTTTTTAAAGGTGGTGTTGTAAGCCTCAAATAATTTTTATAAATGCAGTTTTATCTGTTCAGAGCTATTAAATCCTTCGGAATAATTAGTAATCACATTCTTAATTTACTCAAAATTTTCATATAGCTTGTTTCTAAAACATTTGCTGAAAAAATTTTTAAATTAGAATTATTGTAAATGATTTTATGGTATTTCTTTTTCTTATCTGTAATTTATATTGCCACGCCTCTGTACATGACAGTTGGAAGCAATTCTATTGGCCTTGAGAGTTGGCTATCTTCTCTTACACAGATGGCGTTGTTTGGTATATGCTGGGATCTTTAATTTAATAGATAACTTTATTTTTTAAAAAGGGCTCAGTGAAACTAGTCTGGATCGGGTTGCACTTTCAAAGGAAACCAGAGGTCACCTGTGTTTGCTGGCAGTGGACTTTCTAGTATCTAGAAATGATGCCAATAAAAATGACAATAAGTGCTCAGCACAATGCCACCCCCCTCTGGGGATGTGTGAAGGCCAAAGGTCATTTGAAATATTAATGGGAAAACTGATTAAAGCCAAGAATGCTGCTCATTATGTAAACAGTGCTTCCTGCTGAATTAAAAAAAAAAAAAAGAAAGAAACAAAAACCAAACCTTTCCTTTGGTACGCAATTTCTTTGACTCTGAAGGTCTAAATTGCTGGAGAGCATAAAATATTTAACAAAAGGAATAATAAATAGTCCCTTCTCCACAAATTCCATTCCTAATTGTACTATGCAAGTCTTAATCTAGTATTTGATTTATTTAAAAAACCTAAATGAACACATCCTGTAATAAGCATATAATTACCTGAAATACAATGCTTAACTAATTATGTTAAAACTTTTCATTTTTGAAGATACGGTAGGTTAATTTCTCTATGCCTCTTGATATATTTTCAAGGAATCCAAACTTTCATTTTTTCCTTCTGAGCAAAGAAACTCAATTTGCAATTGAAAAATAATTTAATGAACCCGTACCTGGAAAAGTCCAGTTTTATTGAAGAAAGTAAACTGTGCTCTTTTAACTAATACAGAATCTTCTTGACTTAAATCCTCAAGTAAGTTTGGAGGCAAAATTACAGAAGCCAATGGATCCATTTGTCCACTCTCAAAATCCATCTGTCACACACAGAGAGATACACGGGTCAAGGGTCAAGTAATGACAAATTACCATGATAACTAATCCACATCTGAATGAGGCAGGCAAGGGCTACTTGGTTAGGGCTGGGGTTTCCCTTTACCTCCCCTGGAGTCACTGCTGCCCTGAATGAAGCCCTACCAACAAAAGCCTAGATCTCATCTGGGTTTTGCAAATGTAGAAAAACAGAAGATGCACTGATTTTAAGGCAAACTGAGAAATCGACAAATCGGTTAACCTCTTCAAGTATAAGAGTGAGATTTACACTTAATAGACTTTGAGCTTTTCTCAAAACACCTAGTGAAAGATAACTACAAAAAAGGAAAAAAACAAGATCGGAGTTGATTTGTCTGATTGCTGAGACTGAGTATCTCTGCACAGAGGAAAAGCAGCAGAAATTTTATGAATACTCTTGGATATCGTCTTTCCCTGAACCCACAGATCAGGCTCAAACGTGTCTTCCCATAAATGGATTCGGAATGGGACCGAGGATGACCAAGTTTTCACTCTTAAATGTGAAACAGAAATATCCAAAAGAGCCGCTACTCTCAAGCAGAAAAATGTCCTTCCTTTTATCCAGATCCTTAAATATTCCATCTCGGTTTATCTCCAGAGTAGAGAATCAGCACGCACCACTGTGTGCTCTGCCGTGTCAAGGACGATGTTACGACCGTTTCATTTGCCCATGTGGCTAACACTAATGTACAGTAGGAACTTGAAAAGTATCTGCTGGAACGTCGCTTCCACAGGGCAGAGAGGCTCTCCATTAACCTGTCCAGCCTCATTGCTGCCCACCCTCCTCCCAGGCTTCACGCCACTGGTCCTCAGCAGAGTGCCATTCCAAGACCAGCACAATCAGCAACGCCTGGGAACCTGTTCCAAGTGCGAACTTTGGAGATCAACCCAGGACCTACTAACTTAGAATCTCTGGGGATGGGAGCCCGCCATCTGTTCTGACAAGCCCTCCAGGTGGTACAATGCAGTTTGACGACCACTGGCATGGTTGAATACATGACACTTCTTCCCACTCGGGCCCTGAATAAAGCCGTTTCTTCTGACTGAATGGATCCCCCCCACCACTCTCAATAGGGGTTTCCCACTGATGGTTGAACACTTAGTTCCACTATCACCTCTTGTAGAAGGTAAGCTGACCACCCCGTCACATGGGTTCTAAAAGGACACCTCCCCTCGGTGTCCACATACCTGTGGCTACTGCTATTATTAACCTCAGCAAGTGTCCTGACCTACCTGCCTGCCACCCCGCCGACCAAGATCTTCAAGCAGAAACTGGTAAGTGATCAGATAGTGTTCCTTTGTCTAATTAATTAAAATTAAAGAAACCACTGGCTCATTACCTGGAAATAGGATTCATTATTGCTTGGAAGACCGATGCTAAAATTTGAAATTTCATTTGTCCCTGGGGACAGGGATGAGACTCCAAGAGCCAAATTCCGAGTTGTAATATTCACATGTGATGTGCTACTTAGGTCTATCTTGAAGGCCAATTCATCAATTGTCTTTAAAGCTCTAAAGAAATGACAATACCACTGTTAAGCAACACGTTTTATGTACTTTTACACATGCGATTTGCAGCAGGACAAAATACAAAACAAGTAAAATTGTCTTTAAATTTTCTGATCTTAACATGAATACCAACAAAACTACCCCAAACCACAATAACATCAGTTTAAACACAGAATCATAGTGATGAATGCATCCTCAAGAGAAATGTTATGCTTTAAGGACTACCAACAATTAAATCACCCTAAACAAATAACTGTTTTTCACCTCCTAGCCTTTCTTTCCTCATATAAAAAATACCTTTTCTATTTTATAACTGAATGAGAATCAAAGGAAAATAATGAGGTAAAAGCATTTTTTTGGACTCTAAGACACTATAAAAAGTTTGTAATTATTATGTAGATAAGGTAAGTAAAAAATACATTTTAACAAATATAAAACTTTCATTGAAGAAATTTGGTTGAAAGGAAGGAAACAAGAACTATTAACACATTAAATGAAATAACTGGATGCACACTAATTGTGTAAAAACAGGTACATTTCATATGCCCTGGGCATTTTCATTCCTGAAGTACAATGATCACACAGCTATCGCATTTCCATGTCACAGTCCGTAGGACAGAATTTACAGTGACCAAGTTATGCCTAAAAGATGTGAGCTCAATGTTTGCTAAGTGTCTCTTTTGCAATCAAAGTGTCTTATGCTAATATATATAATAGCTTATCTTGTGAATTAATCCCAGTTAACGTTTTTTCAGATGAGAAATGACATACTGATTATGTTTTTCTGGGGCTATTTATATATCTTGCCAGATGGACAATCCTAATCATTTTGTAAATTGTATTTCTCAAGAAAGAAAATAGAGGACTTTGAAGTTCACTTTGTGAATGATCTTGGGAACTACCCATGGATCTTCTGGAGATTTAAATAATGAAAGCTGGCCACCAAGCATTCAGATAACTGAGAAATTACATAACATGTATCCAATAAATTTTACTCTCCAGAAGAAAAAAAAATACTTACTCAGAAGAAGACTCAAGCAAGTCACTGTCTGGACTGGTTAAGATATTGGAAAATATATTCATTAAAGTTGAACCAAGCGTTATATCAATGTTTTCTTCTTTATTCACAATCCTTTTGACCTGTTCTACAATGCTGGTAATATTGGCTGAGCTTAAGGTCTGCCCATCACCAGTTAAATTTAAAATCTGGTTGGCCACTTCATTTGCTTCTCCTAAAAAAAGACAGCAAAAAAACAAAACACAAAATTCTGAACACTTCAGGAATCCAAAACATACTATGATATTTCCACTTCAGAGTCCCACCTTTGGAGGGACCAATATTCATATAAAGTTCTAAGAGAAATGTCCCCAGAATCACAAAAAATAAGTGTATAGCTGCTGATTAAAAATAATACACATGTAGGGGCTCCTGGGTGGCTCAGTCGGTTAAGTGTCTGCCTTCGGCTCAGGTCATGAACCCAGGGTCCCGGGATCTACAAGCGTCTGGCTCCCTGCTCAGTGGGGAGTCTGCTTCTCCCTCTGCCCCTCCCCCCCAGCTCATGCTCTCTCTGTCTTTCTCAAATCAATAATAAATAAAATCTTTAAGGAAAATAATACACAACTATAAAACACTGACACAAATATCAATTTATTTGTTACATGTTCTCTAAAATTGTTTATTTTTCATCTCTAACAGAATAAGCAGAACAAAAAGTTATCAGGAAAAACACAAAAGTTTCACAAAAAGTATCAGGAAAAACAAGAATTTCCTACCTTAAGTGAAACAATCATTTGCTTAAGCTTTTATTATTACAATGGTTATCATAGAGCAGAAGAATATAGCAGAAGAGGATGAAAACTATGAAGTAATTTCATTTTGCCTGTGACAACTGAAGGAAAATTGCTCACTTACTTGAACAGTTGGAGAGATCAGGAGGCCCCCAGTAGGCTACAGATGTGTTGGCAGGGTCACGATAACTAGGGAACAAAACAAGGTATTTCAAATATTTGACATAAATGACATTTTAATTGACAAAATTGGTTAATAATAAGTTTGAGAATTTGCCTTGATGTCTACATAAACTTCATTGGAAAATAAAATTGTAATACATTGAACTAAAACTCTCACTGGAAATCCTTATTAGAAAAAAATCAGGTGCCATGCATCCTGGAAACACAATACTAGCAATAGTGTGTGTCCTAATATAGGATATATCCGGTTACTAAGGTTAAAGGCATATTCGGTAATGTGGGTCAAATACCTCTTTAAGAACTTTGATAAAATCTGATTTTGATTTCACATAACTCTGTAAAGCAGATTATAATCCACACTTTATAGGTGAGGAAAAAGACAGAGAAATCAAAGAATATTCCGAAGTCTCACAGCCAGGAAGAGGTAGAGCCTTGTTTCAAACTAGGGTCAGTAAATCTCTAAAGCCCCTTCTTTCCTTCCTACCATGTGTCAAACATAGCAGAACGTGCAAAGTTTGGGCAGTTTCCATTTTTGACCCCCCCGCCCCCCACCCCTGTGAGAAAACTCCAACTGGGGGTGAGGAGTGTTCAGTGAATCCTCTGCAGTCGACCTGTCTCTGAGGTTTCTGTTAAACACTTAGGAAAACTCTACACCCTGACAATCTGCATTAGCAGCCTGCCCTAACCTAGGATCCTGAATTTATTCCCTCTTTTTCTGCCTCTTCTCACTCCAACAATAACCATTCCCAATTGTTTAAAGGTTTTGGAATTTCAGACACATGTTCCAAAGCTGGAAGTTAGCGCCGTTCATCCACATGCTTTGCTCTAGAGTCACCCTGTGGTTTCCAGATTTCCCCATCTTTCTTTGGAGAAGGCTAAATTAGCATGGCACTTGGAGTAAAAAGCTTTTCTGGGTAACCTACCTGCCTTTTTACCCTCCATGAAGTGTGATTTAGGTGTTCACAGACTTTCCTGTCCCTCCCAATCACTATACAATGTATGGGGACTGTCGTGCAGCCAGCCTGTGTAACCCAGGCAGGTAGACAATGTGCAGCTTTACTGGCAAGATTCAATAAAAAGCATTACCATGTCCGTGAAGCATAAAAGCCCTGTTTTCCTGGACAGGGAAAGTTGTATACAGAAGGTGGGATGAGTGGCCAGTGATAGCCTTTGGGATCCTCATCAGCAGGACATAAACCTATGTGAAAATAAGAGCCAACACAGAAATGTTAATCTATTCTTTGAAGTAAAAGGTAAAAGATAAGAGCAAAATGATGATGTTGGTACTTAGGTATTTATTTCATGTAATGCTAAAATACTGTTGTATTTTTTTAATGTTCAGAATTTGTAAACCTTTAGAAATTAGGAACGATAAACATTTAGTATACTTGAGACACAAAAGTTATTCAAATCAAAGTCACACACTTATGGGAGTATAATCATTAAACATACACCATTATTCTAATATAAACTGTTAGCCGGTAACATTAGTAAAATAAAGATGTATTCAAAAAATGAACACCACATACAATGATGATCCTGAAAAATTCAAAATGTAATATGATCTTTTTCCAAAGGGGAAAGCCTACAAAATGATGCATCAATCCTGTTGTCATTGAGTTGTAAGCATATTTTATGGAAAACATTTCCAGCTATTCTGAAAGCACCGATTGCCTGGAAGTCTGCTGGGGGGATGGAGAGAGGGGACCCATTAACCAGTGCCACATGTCCCTCACCTGCGTCTTCATCCTCAAATCATCCCACCTGTTGTTGGAAAACTCTCTGGGCAAGAGTCATGACACCAGTAATTCCGATTTTACCATTTTAAAAATATCCAAATAAAAGCAATATATCAACGACAAAATAATCATATCATTTCAGGACTGAAAAATAGCCATTTAAACCAGACCATTGGGAACTGGTATTAGAGTCTCCAACTTAACATTTAAAGAAATTTCCCATCTACATTCTAAGCCTTAACATCACCAGGGTTTGTTCTTTAATATTTTCAATTGGTAGAAACTTTTCCTCATAGGCCCACTTTCAGAAAAACAATAAAGCACAGAATTTATTTATTATGTTAGTCACCATAAAAATACATTAGTTCTTGATGTGGTGATCCACAATTCATTGTTTTTTATAACCTCCTGTGCTCCATGCAGTACGTGCCCTCCTTAATACCCATCACCAGGCTCACCCATCCCCCCACACCCCTCCCCTCTAGAACCTTCAGTTTGTTTCTCAGAGCTCATAGTCTCTCATGGTTCATCTCCCCCTCTGATTTCCACCCCTTCATTTTTCCCTCCCTTCTCCTAATGTCCTCCATGCTACTCCTTACGTTCTACAAAGAAGTGAAACCATACGATAATTGACTTTCTCTGCTTGACTTATTTCACTTAGCATAATCTCCTCCAGTCCCATCCATGTTGATGCAAAAGTTGGGTATTCATCCTTTCTGGTGGCTGAGTAATATTCCATTGTATATATAGACCACATCTTTTTTTAAGATTTTTTTTTAAATTTACTTATTTGACAGAGAGAGACACAGCAAGAGAGGGAACACAAGCAGGGGGAGTGGGAGTGGAAGAAGCAGGCTTTCCGCTGAGCAGGGAGCCTGATGCGGGGCTTGATTCCAGGACCCTGGGATCATGACCTGAGCCAAAGGCAGATGCTTAAGGACTGAGCCACCCAGGTGCCCCTGGACCACATCTTCTTTACCATTTGTCTGTTGAAGAGCATCTTGGTTCCTTCCACAGTTTGGCTATTGTGGACATTGCTGCTATGAACATTGGGGTGCGTATGGCCCTTTTCACTACATCTGTGTCTTTGGGGTAAACACCCAGTAAAAGCACAGAATTTAAATTAAGTCGTATAAATTATATGTCTAGGTATGCGGAGAGTTTTCTGGGATTCCACAGCCTCCTAGAACAGAGATGAGGCTGGCTGGCCCTCGCAGAGTTTCCCTGTCATATATAATCCACCATTCATCCAGCTACTCCTCATGGAGACTCATTAGTGAAAGGTAGCATGTGTACTCTCCCCTGCCTCAAGAAGCCCCATTTGTTAATAAGCAAGCACTTTCCCACAGAGGCTCAGAAACTGTTCATGATGATGACATCAACAATGATGATTTGCATTCCGCCACCTCTATGAATTTTCTGTAATTGTGTAAGTGGACACATTACATATGGGTAGCTCCTTATCCAAGCAGGGATACCTGCTTCTTTATTACACTGGGATTCTGGCCTCAGTGGGAATCAGCCTCTTAGAGACTGAGAAATACTTGCTTCCCTGTGTGTGTATAAGGAAAAGAGTCAGTTTCCTTTTCTTTTGATCTCTATTAATATGTTTAATCATAATATAATCATATAACATTAGAATAATATCTTCACTTCTTATTATCCATATTTGTGATCAATTTTTCTAAAATATCCCCATCAAACCTCATTTTTTTCAAGTATTTAAGTGCTAGGGAATGTGCTGGGTGCTAGGGGAGGTGGGAAATGAGGGTGTTAAAAAAAAAACTAACACGTGTTCTCAAGCCAGAGGAGATTCCTGTTTAAAGAAAATATCCATAAGAACGTAAGTGAGTCCAGTCAAATATTATGGTCTTCTAATTTGTATGGTGCTCTAGGTCTCTGGAAAGCATGAAGTGGAGGCTCAAAGGCAAGGACTCCTATTTATGCATGATCATGTCATACAATACATCATAGAAAAGACGACTTTGGGCTGTCTTTAAAACAATGATGTGATAAGCAGGTGGATGGTGGGAGTACAGAAGAGCAATGCAGGCAAGACACGGAAAGGCACAAAGGAGCATGGCGTGTCTGAGGAGGTGCATGGAGTACCATGTGTGTGGTTGGAACTCAGCATGTGAATGGTGTCTAGGTAAGAACTGACTCTCAATCCTGGATAACTCCCAGATTTCTGGCCTATTCCTGTAAAAACAGTGCTATCATTCATGAAGACAGAAAACATAAGAGGAGATGTTTTCTAACAAGAAATTGCCTTTTCTAAGATTTACCTCTTTAGAGTTTCCATATGTCCACATACACACTCTTTATTCCTGAAGTTGAAGCCAATTCTGGTCAAGGCGATCCTGGCACTTCGCTCATATTCTTAGTTTTTCCAGAATATGTCCCCCAAATAAGTGTAAACTCTCCTCTGCCTCTTTCATTCCCTTAGATTCATATCTCTGATGTTAACCATGTCACCCATTTGTTACTATGCCACCAATATGATGAATCTCATCATCAGGAAAAATAGTTTTAAATAGGCAAACAATGCACAGAGGAAGAATATTGTTGTTGCTGCTTCAATAAAACCTGAAGAATTATATAAAATACATATAAAAAAAGGCACTTACCCAGTTGCTTCACACTCACTGCATATAGCCTCAAGCCTTCATCCAGGGACTCGTTATTTTTTAAGAGCTTCTGTTGAATATCTTTTCCTTCTAAATTGGGATTGTTGGTAGCATTGTAAACTAGAAGGGCCCAAATCACCAACCTAGAAAAACATTTCAGATAAAATTGTTGGAATTGCTGACTGGTTGATGTTTTTTTTTTTTAATTTTTTTTATTTTGTGGAAAAACAGAACATTTGGATATGGTAGGTAAGAGGGATGACCCTGAAGTATTGAGACAGGAGAAATAGGCCAAGGCATTCAGAGACTCCTGGGGCTGCATAAATTGTAATGTTAAAAATATCTCAGTATGAATAGATTACATAGGATATCATATGTGTAATTCTATCATATCATACCATTATCACCTCATTTAAGAAATATTTTAAGTAATATTTATAGCATACAGGCAAGAAAGGGTCATACTTGTGGTTATTTCTACATTGTTTCTTTGGAGCCAAAAATAAAGTTTTTTAAAAAATTAAATTCCAACAAATCTGACTAAACTGATCATTTGACTTTAAAATTAAGGGTGTTATTGTTTACAAATGTGTTAAACTTTCTCCAGAATTGTGATAATGATTTTCCATCTCCGTGAAGCATTTGCAAGTATGTTGTATGGTGAAAAGTTACAAAATAAATACTTAAAATATACATGGTGATTGGCCCGCACATTACAGAAGGAGTTTACAGACTGTCTGACCTTGAATGTCTTTAAAAAGAAAATATTTCTATGAGAAGCAGAGATGTATCCGAAAAGCCCCATCAAAACCTTTGGTTCTACATTTTGAAATAATATAATTTTCTGTTCCCATGTGATCATAGCTATAGTCAATAGCAGAAATCAAAACATGCCAAAGTCAAGGCAGTAGCACTATTTTTGAAATAAGTATTGCCAGTAGAGAGGCATGGCATATTGTATTTATAAAATTATGTAGGTATCAATAAAAATGAAATAGAATATTGATATATTTGTGGTGCTAAAAAAAGAAAGACTAAATGAAATCTATGTTATTCAAGGTTAGGTGAAATTAAAGAAGAGCTCCATTTTTTCCCCCTAAATATCTGTGTTAATTTCAAAGACAAAGTATGGAACTGTTCTCATAATTCAGTCCGAAAAGCTATTTATCTCAAAAATGATCTACTCCCCAGTGTTCACATATAAAAGTCATACTTCAGGTTGAGCGAGACATAGATGTAAATACAATGGTGAACTGTGATAACTTAAAAATTTTTTAAATGGCCTAGGAAAAGTATCCTCTGATTAAATTATTGTTGGAAGATAAACTTTGCTACTCCAGTTACTAAGAACTTAGCATTGAAAACATGACCTTTTACTTTTCTTTTTTTTTTTTTTTAAAGATTTTATTTATTTATTTGACAGAGAGAGACCAGCGAGAGCAGGAACACAAGCAGGGGGAGTGGGAGAGGGAGAAGCAGGTTTCCCGCTGAGCAGGGAGCCCGATGTGGGACTCGATCCCAGGACCCCGGGATCATGACCTGAGCCAAAGGCAGACGCTCAACGACTGAGCCACCCAGGCTCCCGACCTTTTACTTTTCTTGAACATTGAGAACATAACGAGCACAATGCATTGTGACATACTGAATACCCAAATTCAGCAATTCAAGAACAGCCATGCATTTTCACAGGTCTTATCTCTGTATTTTCCTCTCTCATCCTGAAAACTGAAACTAGTTTATGGTTCCCCCAAGTTCTATCAGTTGTTACCATCAATCACCCTTTATTTGAATAAACCCGTCTGTGGCTTCGGTTTCCTGTCTGTCTAGGCAATAGAGGATGAGGCATTATCTGGGGTTATGGTCTATGTTAAGTGTTACAACCAAATTGAAAGAAAAAGTTTGGAAAAAAGTGTGTGTGTAAAACTAGTAGATTGTGGTTTTGAGAAAAACTATGAGGGACTACAAAGACTCATCAATGAGCATAAGAGCAGTAGAGGAGAGGAGAAAAAAGGGAAAAGACTATAAGAATACATTTTAAAACAATTTTAAAATGATTAAAACATTTTTAAACATTAGGCTTTTAAATAAAAAAAAATTTGAAACAAAGAGTCAAAGATTTATACCAAAGAAAAACTAAACATGTGGACTTTCCCATATACATGGTCTTGGTTCCCTCTCCCTATAATTTTCTGTGAAGTTACCTGTTGGTTTGACAGAAAACTGAGATTCCATGAATTTAAATGTTTTTCAAGCAAGTTTCTGAGGTACTGACATACACTAATGATGGCTGGCTTTAGTATTACTGGGTGGTAGAAGAATCACAGGAGGTCCACTAAAATGGGCAATGCTGACTTCCTGAAGAGGATTCGTGATTGGTGATACCCGAAACTAGGACAGCCTCAATTGTTAGACAAAGTGTCCAGCAGAGGGATCCAGATCTCTGATCCGCTATTCAAAGCTCAACATGATCTAGCACTACAGGTTAGAGAAAAAATTATTTGGCTAAGTAGAAAAGTCCTGTCACCATCAAGAACATAGTATTAAAATAATTATTCTCTTCTTCAGTTCATAAAGGAAAAGGAACAAAGAAGATAAAAACAAATTTCCCTCATCAGATGGCAAAAGCCGGTCTGTTGAATACATACCGAAATGAAAAGTTTCAATTATAACTTAAACACATCTGCTTTTCTAATATTAAACAGAAAAAGAAAAAAAAATAAGAAGAAACTCTCTGGTCAACTCTCATATGAAATTCTATTTTTATCTTCTCCTAGTAAGAATATATCACCTGAAAAGAAGTATATTCCATCATTATTGTTGAAATCTGTAAAATCAATTCAGTCCATTGAAACTGAGCCAGACTTACATGAACTTTTGCTTTTCAACTATTTTTTTCCCCTCTTCTTTGTAAATGTAATAGACTACCTGAACACAGCTAAATTTATTTAGGAGTTTAAGTTGTTTTTAATTACACAGTACTCTGAACAGCTAGCCTTTATATGCCAACTGATTCTGTATGGTGGACAGATCTGTTGAATTACCTGCCTGCTTAAATCACGGTCTAGATAGAAATTTTAAAATGGAGACTTCCAAAAATTAGCTATTACCCATATTATTAGATGCTACTGTACATAAGTACCTTACTTAAAGCTGTAACTATCTTTTTGTTTCTTTGATGGTCTTCTCAAAATTTCAATGAAGAGGTAATGGGTTATCATAAATAAACTAAAAATACTAAAAATAATAACTCCTACATTTTAAATGTTCTACTTCTGAATTACTTCTCATTGGGTGTACGCCTCTATCCATTCTAGTATTAGATGGTCTTAACTACAAAAAAAAAAAATTAGCGCACTAGTGCTAAAGAAGTAACTTAAAAGTGCTACCTGATTAAAATGTTTCTCTCTCATCTCATTATTTTCATTTTTTTACGGGTCAAAACAGAGAGCTAGAGAAAGGATGTTACACTTTCTGTAAGACTTTATCAGTGTTACCTTTGATCATTCACAATGCTTCTCTTGACTTTAATCTTGTCCTCTCCCGTGCTCTGGTGAAAACTATAAATACAAATATATATATTCATTATCAACCTCATCTGCCACATCATCAGCAACAAAATTTGAGGAAGTAAAAGAAAGAGGCAAAATGAACATTCTAAGCCAGTATTTCCAAATATGTGTCCTGAGGTTCCAGTTCTTTTCATATGCCCAAGATCGAACATCTCCACTGTCAAGTAAATTTGGCAGCTGTGCACCCTTGCTCTGTTTTCAAGATTCTCGATGCATGTTGGTTATACTAAATAATCTGAGATGTTCACATATATAGAAATCTGTTTCAGTTTGTTTAAGAATGTACTTCCTGAGCCTATTCAACATGTGATCCCTTTTTCTGTGTTAACTTATGATGTCTCTTGGGTTCACAGAATATCTGTTTAGGGTTAGTGACATACACTTTTGAAAACTAATTTAAAACTATGAAAACAAGGTACAGAGGAGGATATGTGGATGACACTATTTGCCAGACAGTAAAAGTATTTAAATAGGATAGCAAAAGATATTTCTGAAAAGCTAGGTGCAGACTCTAAATGTCTTATCTTATAGAAAAACAGTCTCCAAACTGGGGGTACTATCAATGGTTCACTGGGGTGTGAGATGAAACCAACAGCACTTCTATATATATTTGAATATCTTCTTATAATCTGTGATATATTTATAACATACACTGGTTAAGTAAGACACAAATTTATTTAAAATCACAAATATATTTTGGGAATACATACTGATTTTTTTTTAAAGATTGGGATCCATGATCAAAAAAAAATTAAAACCAATTGCTGCATCACTGAAGATTTTCGTGCAAAGAAATGACATAATATAGAGTTGTTTCAGAAAGACTATGAATATGGTGCATGTGTGTATGTGTGTACTGGTGTCAAGTGTGTGGGGTATAATCAGAGAGATGAAGAGTAGCATTAAATTAGACACTAATTTTTATTTTTCAAATCATTCATTCTGTCATTTACCTGATATTAACCACATAAACAGTGTAGTTCCAATTTTGGAAGGTTGAATTGAGCTGAAAAATACAATGGAAAAGGGTGAGTTCTGGTAATACTTTCTAAAAAAAAATCTGAATCTAGTTTATTTCCCCCAAAAGATAAGTTGTTATTGGAATAAGACCCTGGGAAAATCCCAGAGAGCCAGCGGAGTGAAAGAAAGGTAAAAATAACAGTCACTGGATCATTATATGCCAAGAACTTTACAAAGGTTGTTTCTTCAATCTCACAACAACTAATGAGATAGGTATTATCTGCTCCCCCACCCTCATAGATGAAGAAACTGAGCTTCATGGAGAAGAAATAGCTTGCCCAATGTCCCCAATGTCCCCAACTAAGAAGTAGCAGATCCCAGATTGGAGCCCAAGTCTGTTTGTCTGGAAACACTATACTTTCCTCTCTAGCCCATATTATAATGGGCCCCATTATAATGGTTCTTCCAATTAGCCATAACACTGAGGGTTTCACAGGAGGATAAGCACAGTAAACATCATCCATATTCTTCATTCAACAAACACTGTAGTACAATAACACATGTTCTTCTAGTAAGTATCACCTCATAGGAATATCAGTAAGAAAAATTACAAATTAACAATACAAACCTTTAAAAACACAAACAAAATGAGTTCAACATTATTGGGAACTATGTTATTATTATGTGGGTTATTTAACGGTCTTATGGGTCTTAGCACCAGACTTTTTAAAGCAATGGATTATGGATTCCTCTCAACGTAAATTACAACCTTCCATGATGCACTGTGCAATACAATCACAAATGGGAATTCTTTACTGATAGGAAATCTTCCTATTTCTGTATCACCTCCAAAGGGTTTTTTAGGTCTTATTTCATACACACAGTTAGCCTTCCTTGCAAGCATTCCTAAAATTGAATGTAAATTCTACAAAGTGCTGACAAAAAGTATTAAATTATTTTCAAATTATAAACAGCAATAATATGAATCAGGGACACCACTTATGTTTTCTCTAGTATCAAGCATCTGCTTTGGTACCTTGCATCTTAAATGAAAAGTTTCCAGTAAAGTTCAGCTTCAGATGAGAATGAAGTTACGTTGAAAACTATGAATGTAATAAATATAAATGTAAAATTATAGGCTGCCTAAGGCACAGACTCTCCATGAATGTTAATTTCCCAGATTAATAATATTAGTAGTGGCTTATTTGAGAATGAAAATAAAGAATTTTATCTTTTGAAATCATTCTGACTTAAAAAGAATTCTTGAAAGTAAATGGGTTGCAAGACATTAGGGAGGGTATGTGCTATGGTGAGCGCTGTGAATTGTGTAAGACTGATGAATCACAAACCTGTACACCTGAAACAAATAATACATATGTTAATAAAAATAAAGTTAAAATTAAATTAAAAAAAAGAATAGGCTCTTTCTTTAAAGCTGCTCTATGTTTGGAAATGAAACATATCTCCCAGTGTTTGAATTAATTACTGACTTTAATGTATCAGTCCAAAAAGTCAACAGTATTTTTTGTTGACTTCTATTAGAGAATGTCGCTCTTCCCCTCAATTTTATAATAGAATTGTTATATACATACTATTGTTTCCTGTGGTCAGCTTATTTTGAAGTGTATTAAAAATAGGACTTTTCTTACTATAGACCCTTCAAAACAAGGCTGTATTGTTATATTAAGTTATTCTTCAAAGACAGAGAGAGAGTCAGTCACCACTACCTCTCAATGTATGACTTAACTTTGTTTTGCTACCAAGGGCATGTTTACTAGACACCTTCTGCATAAGAAAACCCATCTTTCTCAAAATGTATACTAGAGTGACTTTATTCAGTGTTTGAACTGTAATAGTATTATATATAAAAAGCAGTACAAAGTCCCACAGTATGCAGCAGACAGAAAATAAAATAGAAAAAAAAGGAACCTATGGAAAATGAAATTTTTGTTATGTAGATAAAAAAAACATAGGTGATATCTGTAAGGACAAGAAAACAAAATGAAGTTTTTTTCTTTTTACTGGAAATTACAAAAAAATTTCATTAATACTGATTAAATAAATTAGTATACCCTAAATCTCTATCAACAGAAGACTTGCTAAATTAATGACCAGACAGCCACATAATGGAATACTATGCAGTTTTGAAAAAAAAGGAAGTTCTCTGCACACTTTTGATGTAATTCTGGCAATAACAAAAATAAGCACAATGTAGAATGGTATGCAAAATATGTTTTTAGTGTAAAAAGGAGGAAAAAGAAGAATCTGTAGTCTTATTTTCTTTTATATACACAAAGAAATTCAGGGGCAAAAAAAACAAACAAGAAAAATTAACAATGATTTCTAAGCAGATGGGTTGGTCTCCAGAGAGATGAGCTACAGAGATGGGTAGAATATTTGCTTTTTTTTTTTTTTTAAGATTTTATTTATTTATTTGAGAGAGACAGAATGAGAGAGAGAAAGCACAAGAGGGAAGAGGGTCAGAGGGAGAAGCAGACTCCCTGCTGAGCAGGGAGCCCGATGTGGGACTCGATCCCGGGACTCCAGGATCATGACCTGAGCCGAAGGCAGTCGCTTAACCAACTGAGCCACCCAGGTGCCCTAGAATATTTTCATGATATATTTTGTTATGCTTTTTGGTGTATGAATCAAACATTCAAACAATTAAATAAAAAATATATAATCTATTTTTAAAGTTCTGCTGAAATTGTAGGGATATAAGAGTTAATAAAGATACCTATGAAAATATATTTCTATTTGTGTGGTACTTTTCTTCTTTAGACAATAATAGTCTATTAGGCTTGTCCCTGATGCAAATGCACCTCCCTTTCTAGGCATCAGCACACACCCCACTTCTATGTCTACTCAGAATATACATATATATAAGGAAGAGTGTCTGTGTTTGCATATGATCTGTGGATTCAGTTATCCAGACAGTAGAGTCCTCTCCAGATTTCCAGAGGTTAAATATTTCAAATCAAAGAAGAAATTGTACAAGTTCACTTACCCATTCTGCTACCTTGCTCTGTACTTTAACCTCAGGGTGACGAAGGATATTTTGAATCACTATGGAAATTCTATAGACAATTCCATCTGTCCATTGGAAATAGGATTTAGTCCGTTAATTGTTTTACAGTCATATAATTCTCAATTTAAATTTACAATCACACAATTTCACACAATTTAAAAGAAATGCCTTTTTTGGGAGATACAGGTTTCCAGTTATGGAATGAATAAGTCACAATAACAAAAGATATAGTACAGAGAATATAGTCAATGGCATTGTAATAACATCTGTATGATGACAGACTATACTATACTCATGCCGAGCGCAGGAGAACATACAGACTTGGCAAATCACTATGTTGTACACCATAACATTGTGTGTCAGCTAGACTTCAATTTAAAAAAAAAATAAAACACCTTCTATATAGGTACAGAAAATTTGAGATATTTTGACTTTATGTTCATTGACCTTTGTAACTTCTTAGAAAGAGTTCTGTTTATTCTTATAAATAATTCACTGCCTCTCAATTATCACCTACGTATTTCCTTAATTCTATAGATTTTGGATATAGAATTCCAAAATTTTTTCATGACTTTTTCATGTACAGTTTGATCTCTTATAACAGGAAATTATCATTTTTTTGTACGTTAGAAAGAATGACAGAGTTTAAGGTATGCAAACTTGAGTGGGATGATGGACAGAAGTTAACCTGAAAAAGAACAGGCATACACATATTTGGTGCCCTCAGCCCCTTATTCTTCCTTTTCTCTTTCCCCTCCCCAATATAGCATTTACTTCTACTGAGTCATTTACCAGATTTTTCATCAAAATTCCATAAATACAGTCACTTGTATCAAAGTAAAGGGGGAAAAGAAAGAATATTTGCAGATAGAATTTTAACTGGACTACATTGTTTTAAAAAGAAAATCTTATGAAAAAAGAAAGTTTTGCTTTTTTGTGGGGACAATCTTTAAAGTAGCCTGATATATATATATATATATATATATAGTCTGTGTGTATATATATATATATATATATATATACACACACACACATATATAGTAAATGCAAATTGAAGTCACCAGCCAGGGTTTGCTAAATCTCTCTAGATGTGTGTTATAGGGTACCTTACTATAAGCAGCTAATAAAAAATATCATTTTAAAATATCATAGGCTATACAGAGAAAAAAATTGAATCTCCATTATTGTCAGTCATCTTTCTTCATGCTTATATTTTGGCATATCTTAAGTAAAGTATGCACAGAAAATGTAGAAATATACAATTAAAACAATGTTGGGGAATAGATTTAATAAAAAAAAGTTGGGAAGTCAGTAGAAAAAACATAAAACTCTGCCTCTGGAAACCCCCATATCTACCAAAATGCAAATTCCAGTCCCACTACTAAAGGAATGCTTTTCCAGTACGGGGTCAGAATCTCATGCTAAAAATTTTGCCACTCCCAAAAGGAACAATATAAATAATATGAAATTGGTACAAGTCCGAGGACAAGTGGTTTAACTTATGCAGACTAGGTTATTTAGCGTCTAAAGCTTTTCAGGTATTTTAATGATATTGATTTTATGGTCCTCTAAAAATATTCTGAATTTAAGACATTTAGAGGAATATATTCAAAACAAATGCTATTAATTCAGATTTAAAAAAAAAACGCTTTCACACTGTATTATATCATATCAAATCATGGACATCCTGAATGACTGAGGAGAAATTTAAATTGCAGAGGTCCAAGAGTCATTCCAGGATCCTAAGGGTATGCTCCCTGGTGTCAGCAGAGTAGCTGAAAAGCTACCACTAGATGGAGACCTAAAGCATATGTTTAAGAGTAGTGTTCTTTCCCTCTCAGGAAAATAATGCAAAATACTAAAATTCATTAATTTTTATCACTGACATTTCTGAAATGTTTTGGAAACATTTAAGATATTCTTCTTTAAATTTTAAATGTTTCCTGCCTCATTTTTTTCAATCTGCTGTTATTTATACATGAGAAAGACATCCAATATCAGAGACAGCCTAAATCAATCTATAAATATAGCATTGTCCCTAGAGTTATATTGCTATAGCAAATAAAATATGTGAACACAGAGAACAACATAACATCTTATGTTACAGCTTCTCTTGTGCTATAGATCATTTTCAAGTAGTCTCCCTGCAGAAACCTTAGAATGAGGTATTTATACACTCAGTGGAGTCTACTTGTTATATTTATTTAAAAAATTTCTGAATAATGTAGCCAACAAGTAAACATGAGATACGTCCAGGAGTGAACTGTCAAAGCAAGATAAAATGTCCACCAAAGAATTGGTAGGAGGGGTTTTGGATTGCAGCAAAATAATTGGCTTAAGCACTGTTGCAGAAAATGCACAATTAAGACACCCTGATTCAGGCTTTCCCACGTCATCCTAGCAGTCAAGGGGTCTTCTATGGATGTAACAACTCCCACAGTGTCGCAGTAGAAAAGCTAATCACACATTTTCATATATTCCATTCCTAATAATGACATCCAAGCCAGAAAACATGACAGATCTTTCTTGAGGTGGGGTGGGGCGTGGGGGTGGGGTGGGGTGGGGAGAAGCATTTATGAGTATACCCATTTTTCAATTAGAAGACTCTTTCAGTCAAGCAGAACCTCAAAGTAGAAATCATTGCTTGCTGTTACAGATGTGGTATCGAAAGGGTATATTCCCGTCAATAGGTTTTTCTCCAATTAATCATTTTTTTGATCCTTCTTAACACTCTTTCTAGGGTTTCTTGGGAGACATAGAAATGACACTACATATTTATTCTATATTCAAGGGTGTGAAATATAGGTTTGAAAAGGTAGATTTTAAAATACTTTTTTGAAAAGAGAGATGTGAAAATATAAACCAAATGTTATTTTAGAGTCAAATTCATTTCTTTGAACTGGTGATGAGGCAATTATAACCTGACAGTCACATTTATAATATGACTGGAGTTCTGCTCATCCTACACACATGATTTCTTTAGATGCCTGGCATATATAGCTAGATTGAATGTCCAATCTATACACATATCCAGATAATAATTTTTTTATTTGAGTAATTAAATGTACGTTAAGAATCTGGAAGCAGTGATACAGTTAATACCTGTAAGCTAGGTTTTTAGAACAATAATAAGGACTAACGGAGTTAGTTCCTTACTTGGGTTACTTGGGTTGAGCCCACAAGATTTAATATTCAGTAGCAATAGAGTGATGCTTCAAGCACAGAAGAGATGATTTGATAAGCAAATAATAATTGGCCCAAGAGCTCTTCTTAAGAATGTAATGTAAAAGGCACAAAAGTTATTTGTGGGAATACCTAGATTATCCATTACACACAGAAATATCTGTTTATGAAAAGTAACTTAAAGATACTATTTTCCTAGTATACAATCTGAGGTATCAGATAAGTCCTATTGAAGATAACAAAAAGAACTTTACATAGAGAAATAGGAACACTTCATAAAGTTTAGGAAAACAAATTTCACTTATACATTGAAGAAATATGTCTGATTATCAAACAGTCTCAATCCTCACCCCTCCCCACACCAGCATATTATCACTGGTAGATCCAGCAAAACTCTTCGATAAGCCAGAATTTAAAGGACTGGATAAGTTAGATGACAAATTTGATAGTTGTGCCTATCTTTCTTACAGTGAGTAAAATAGGATTCTCTAATGTATCAGATCATAAGCCTGAAAATGTTTACTGTGTCAGTTTCCCAAGGAACAAGAAAAGTGTATCTAGAACTGCTGACAGTATGCAAATGATTTAGATAGTCCACGACATGACGTTAAATCCCATTTATTCACAAGGTGAATAAGTAATTCTCTTTCCAATTATTTCTAATTTGACTACATCAAAGAAAAAATATTAATTAGATTATAGTCTGTCTCTAACATTTTGTTACTCTCCCTTTTTAAAAGATAATGAAGGCTTCAGGCATAGGGATATGAGAAAGCAATAGCATATAGGGAGAATTCAATAACATTGTTTTCATTACATTTATTCTCGCTTTTCATTTCTATTTTACAACAAACAGTACTGATTTTATAATAGTGATATCAATTTTCCCGTATAAATGCAAATGTTTAAATAAAAATGTGAGTCAGTTTAGGAAAAAAAAACATCTATAGGTGGTTCAAGGATGTGGTAAAAATTGTTCTGATGGTACACGGATTTGAATACACAATTTTGAGAATATTTCTACCACAGGATGACTTTTGAATATTCTTAAATGCTAGCATTACATTTTTATCAAGAATCATCTAAATTGCGTTTTTTCCTTCAATGTAGTCAAGTCAAACCATTTTAACTGATTCTAACATTTGCTCGCTTTGTTGAAACTCCAGTGAAGGTTATGACGCAGAGAGAGATGGCTGAACAAGGCTCTCTTCAAGAATGTCAGAAATGACATGATTGAGTGAATCCAGCTCCACTCCACCAAGTTAAGGACTCTGAAGCATCATATAAACGTTCTTGGGCAGTAGAGGATGTGCCAGTCCTGGAGGGAGAATGCCACAGAGGCTCTTTGTATGTTCTTACAAAGAGCGAAATACTTAGTCAGAATTATAATATTCCCATCTCCTGGCCGGAGTCCATGAGAAATATGCACTGGGAACATCAACTGCTGCTGCTTTTCTGGGGGTTGCTGGAATGTTTGCCCCATCATAAATCTCCTTGGTGTAAGTACCAGAATAACCATAAACACCTCCCTGAATTGATGTCTTTATAACCCTAGTGAAATTTATATCTATGTTTCATGTAAAATATTCCATACTTCCAATTTCAATGTCCTCACAGAGGAAGTTGGTGTAACCCCCAAAGCCAAAGAAAAAATGAACTCTGTGGGTTTCTTTTCTCTGGGTTTTGGTCCCTGGTGATATGTTACAGATGTTTTGGCCTCACAAGTTAAATGACTGGGGTTGAGAAAATTCCTTTGTTTCTAATAGGTCATATTTGAGAATATCACTGTATGTGAGGCAATGGTGTGGTCACCTGATTGGAATTTCTCTTTTCTAGAAGAGACTTAAATCATTTACTCTGAATTACCAAAAGGCTATGTAGTCCATATAGGTGGCAGACTAAATAATAACTCATGTTACCTGGCATTTTCCCTGCTCATTTCTGTATCTCATATAACTGCCCTAGTTACAAATTACAAATAATATAAATAGAAAAGTATATATGGAAAAAGAGGCAAGGAGTATTGGCACTTAAACTGAAATTCTGTCAGCTGAAAATTGACTTAGTTGATATGCAATCACATTCTAACTATTATTCTTCAACAAATAAAAACAGAAAGCGAAGTATTACCATATAAATTGATCTAAACGTCATGAACATTTAAACATAAAGTTGGCTTCAGTGAGAACTTACATTACTAGCTTAATTTAATTTTTTTGAAATTATAAAATTCTTTAATAAACTAGTTTCCTGAAGAGAATAATCTGACAAAATACCATGAATATTTTTTCAGATATCTAGTATAAAGCAAATTAATCCCTTTAATTAAATGCTTTTCTCTTAAAGCTTCCTTTGAAAGCAGTTTTTGCTAAAAGTGTACAAGAGTAGTACTGGAAATGTACTCATACCACCAGTCATTAGAATAAGGAACTCAAGGGAGTCAAGTGATATTTATTTATCTTACTAATCTTTACGAATGTACAAATGTACCAATTGAGTCCAATAACAGAGATTTTGTTTGAACGTTAGATAGTCCCACTCTTAGAATACAATTTTTTATCACATCAGACATACTACAAATATAAAAGGTAATGATTTCTTACCATTCCTTTGTTTATCGATTCTATTAGTAACAGGCATGTTAGTGGTGACAGTGGGTGGTGTAGTACTAGGAGAATCTACAGTAGCTGGTAATAAAGATGAGAAAGATGTAATTTTGCAAGGAGCCCATGACAGTTAATATGGATGAGCAATCTACAATTAATGTATGAAAATATACAGAAGAGGAATAGAAACCATTTCTTGCTACTAAATATAACAGACTCTAGGGTTACAATGCATAAAATGAAGCAATGCTTCCCTATGGCACATTAAGAATCACTTCATATGGCCTTTGGTGTCACACTGCACAAGAGTTTGGAACTGGCACTGAGGAACAAGAGGAAGAACATTTAGATTCTAGACCCAGGTCTGCCCGTCTGCCCATAACAGGCTGATGACCACAGAGTGAATTACTAAATCTTTCTAAAACTCAATTTCCTAAGTTTGTAAAAAGAAAAGGCTAGAGAAGGCAGTCTGTATTGCACCTATCCGTTTGAAAAATTATCTCTACTAAGTTAGTCTTCCACTGAGGCTAGAGAAGTAAAGTCTCAGAGGAAAATGTATTTCTCCTTGAGAAGATAAATGTAAAGAAAGACAAAAGAGAATGAAATTTATGGACTATTTGGAATATAAATGTGTAGAATCATTTACAGATCCCAGTAACTCTACTGAATGTTGACGGGTAAAATGGATTTCGTAAAGACAAGCCTCACAGGGAAGACATTTTCAAGACATTATGTCATAGCTATTCTTCTTATACTATTAAAATTTTCAAAGATTAAACCCTACGTAATGCTTTAATATCTTTCTAAGGGATTCCAGAAGAGCTGTATAGGTAGTAAAATAATGGTACATACTATTTCCCTTTAGCTTATCTTAGGAGTATGTTTGTATTAGATGGACATTCATATGTGCAATGACCATTTGTTATACATCTCAATTTTAAAAATATTACCTAAATTTAAAACATGTGCGTGATTTTGCATTAAGTGATTAAGTAATTATGATTATGATTACCTTCTGAAAGTGAAATTCTTTGATTCAAAATATGCATCCTTAACTAAAGTAATTTTCCAATCCAAAGTAATATATAATTCTTAAAAATGGGGATTCTTTTCGAAGTTTTTATTTTTTAAAATTATGAACAATCAATGACATTTATCTTAGTGCAAAATACATCAATGAATTTAAAAATGCTTTTTGGCCATTTAGGACATGGGTGGGGGGTAGGAAGCTGGGCATCTGGTCTTTGACCCAAGGAATGAGTACTATAGGTATCTCAGATTAAAAGGAAAAAACAATTTAAAAAAACCCTTCAGATCTTGAACTAAGAAAAATTAAGGTTTCTTTCTATTTCATTTAACTGTTTTAAGACTACAGTGAGTTTGTGGAAATTATGTAATGACTTTATTTTCATACATCATTCATCAGTAATAATAACAAGAAATATTGTCTCGGAAAAGAAGCAAACATAATACTGAATTACATTCCTTCTCCCTGACTACTCCCGCACTGGAACCACAGAAGAGAGCTTAGATTTCCATCTACTTAGAAGCACTTCTAACCCTGTCACTTTCAGGCTATAATCCTCTTAATAAAAGATCCAGCTTTTTCAAAAGGCATTGTCATGATTCTTAATGTGGTACATAGAACGTATTACTTCATAAAGAAATATTTAATAGAATAAATGGATGAAAATGGGTCATAAGTAATTAGGAGGAGCAATGATAAAATTAAGCAAAACACTTATATTATTTTAAAACTTTAATTATATATTATTAGCATGCAGCTATTTAGTACATAATATAAAACTGGAGTACTGGCCATAATATAGTCATTGTGCATTATAACAATACAATTACATTAAGATTAGTTTAATATAACTAATTTTATCTTAATATTTAAGTTATATTATACACCATGAATTGCCTTATGGTCTTGTCTCAAGCTTAACTGAATATTTAACTGAATTTTCCCCTTGTTTTTTACACATGAATACTTTTTCAACATATTGCATGACTATATTTATACGGGACCTTTGTAATACTCTTGAGAATAAAAAGAGGGAAAAAATGAAATAAATCCTTGTTTAATAGCATATAATCATTCATATTTAAAAACCCAGTGCTTTATGGAAATATGGTCATCCAGTGTGTGAATGCATTCTTTCTCCACAGTGTATGTACTGTGCACCCACACAACTAAAACACATCCAGAAATTCTTCTGTTTTGCTGGTTTCTGGCTTCTCAAGTGAAAATTAAGATAATAATCAAAATAATTACAACCACAGTATCCAAAATAGCAAGTAGGAAACAGACTCCAGAGGACGATGTTGGCTCCCTACCTTGGCAGAGGGTCCCCAAATCAGCACAGTTGGTTAGTTCTGCTGCTGGGAGTGGGATCAGGTAGGAACCTTGATCAACACAGAGGGATTATACAAGTTTGATTGATGATTTAATGACATTATCCAAAAAAACCCCCCAAAAACATGAATCTTATGGTTGGTATATTGGGAGCAGCCCTAGAAGAGTCCATCAATAATACTCCAACATCAAGAAAGTCTCTTAAGGTCTTTGTGTCTTCATTTCCACAAGTGTAAAATCAAGTTATTGAAATTTCCCTCAAAATTTTTAACTCAATTTATTGGCTATCCACACATGAAAGGAAAAGAGGTGCTACTCCCCAGTAGAGTTTGTGTAAAAAGTCCAGGGCCTTTTCACAGAATAAATTATAAAGCTCTGGTAGAAATTCATATAAATAAGGTAATATAAACATCAAAGGTAAGTTTCAAAAGTGAACTTAGATATTATTAATATTCATAAAATGCATATTTGGGGTTCACAGGCACCAGCATATGCAATTTGCAATTCCAGAAATATGTTTCTGTGACTTCCAGTTGGTCTCTGTGTCTTTTTACTTCAAGCTTTTTTTTTTACTGACTCATCCTCAGCAAGAAACAAGATTAGAGCTGGCTTTCTAGTAGGAATAATGGATTTTCTCTGTTACACTAAATCTCCCTAACAGTTAACAGACTTTTACCAACAGGTTGAGACTGGGGAAGATGGGCTAAACTTATCACAAAGCACCTGCACTATGCATAAAGACAGACGAATACATACAAATATTTATATACGAATACACATACACAAACACATATATTCAATTTTAAAAGGACATTTCTATGATAGTGATTCCATTCTAATATTTAAACATTTTCCAAACTGTCTTGTGGGAATAGTACATGAAGGCAGAGCAGGTATGTGATCTAACAAAAGATGTCTAATTAGGTAATTGACGTGCATAAGCAGAAAGCATCCCAACAGCTTAACAGCACCTCATGAATAATGATTTCTTCATTCTCAACTGCCCCAGGCACCTAGCCCAAGGAAGGAATGTTACTTCAGAAAAACCCAACTCTACAGGCAGGTCTGTGAAGTTAACTGGCAAGAAGCCCTCGTCATAGACATTTACATGTTCAGTCAATAAAAATGTAATCATTGTTTAGTGTGTGAGGCACACAGGCTAGAATAATGCTCTAAGATAATGTCACTGCTCTCAGAGAGGCATGAATGGGAGATGGAGTCACAGTTCTCTGAATGCTGTAAGTACTCACTGGCTCAAAGGACAGCATACCTAGCAGCTTGTTGAGAACAGGGCACAGAGAATCCATTACAAAGAAGGATATCTGTGAGTAATATCAAGACAAGAGACTAGAGATGGATATTCCTAGCAAACAGAATTACTGAAATACATATCAAGATGACAGTGCAAAGTTCTGGGGACCTGGGTGACCTGGCATTACTGGAGTAGAGTATAGGAATGATCAGATATATAGGTAATGTATCCTAGTGGAGGGCCTTATAGAATGTTGGCACCATGAATGGTGGGACTCTGTCTTCCAATGCCATATCCCACACACATAGTAGGTGGCTACTCAATCTTTACCGAATAAATTTCTGGATGTATCATGAAGACTGATAACATTTTGAAATCTTTCTTAGAGGGAACGGAAAATATGAAAGGAAACTAAGTGAGAAAATTAAGATTTAAATTTGAAACCACTTTTGAGGCTGCATGGCCAACTAAAAGGGAATATACAATAAGAATAAATAATAGTATTAATTCAGGCTTGATATCATGAATACAATGAGGATGGCAAGAAAGAGATGTATACAAGACATCCAAAGATAGGATATATAATATTTAGTAACTAATTGGAGAAGAGAGAAAGAAAGGGAAGACTAGGGGATATTTTTCTGGTTTCCACCTTGAGAAACTGGTACATAATGATGTCATAAAAGGAAAGAGGAAATACTAAAAGAACAGCAAACTTAGATGGGTGGGATGAATAAGTCCAGTAATGGGAACTGAGGTGCCTGTGTGACATCTGGATACATGGGCAGGTATACAGGTTTTTGTAAGAGGTCTAGCCAAGAAACAATGCCACAGAATCTATAGATGTGTCTGGGATCACTCAAGCTAGAATGGAGATTTGATGGAAACATAGATATTCCTATATTTAAGTATCATACTATTTTTTTAAAGAGCTCTAAATCTGAGAAGTAAAAATAGTTATTATAGAAGGTGGTTTTATAGAATTCAAGTGAAGAAAGTTTCACAGAAGGTGTGGCCATTATCAAGTATACTAGAAAGGTCAAGAATGGTCAAAACCAAGAAGACCATTAACTTTGCATTGGAATTTTGGTGGTAACTGTACAGGAATTAGTTTCAGTAGCGTGGGAATGATGAACTCATGACCACCATTTGAGAAATGAATGCAAAAAGAGGAAGCCTGGCTATGAAAGAAAGCAGAGATAGGGAGGGTGAGTTTGAAAGACTGAAAACTTAGACAAGTGTACTATGGAAAAAGGGCATCTGAGTAGGCAGAAGTTGAGGCTTGCCTTGTCAGGACCGAGGCAGAATTTTACTGTCAATGTTTTCTGTCCACTATTCTTTCTCAGCACACTTAACTTACGCCCCATTTTTTGCAGAACCTTACTTCTCTGTGGGGTACTTATATTTTAGTGAGGAACTTCTGAAAACTAAAAAGGCTTCAAAACTGAAAATGAGGAAACGTCAGCCACTGCAACATGAGCGAGTGAGAGACCCTTGGATGGAGTTCCTGTGCTTCTCAAATTACACACAATGTTGGCTGTCAAAGGTTCCTTAGGCCTCTTCTGGCATTGATACAGTATCTCTGTTAGACAAAGAGAGATAAGGAGATGGTGTGGGAAAGAAGTGTCTAGACTACACTTCCAGTGCAGTATATTAAGGGGCTTAGAGGTGGAAATGAGTAAAGAATCAGAAGAGTTATGATTTAGAGCAAGATTTTTAACAATTTTTTTTTAACATTTCCTCAGTTTCATTGTATGGTAACAAGTATAAATTCCAATCTGTGACATCCTTGTCACAGGAAATTGTAACACTTCTCAATATTTAAAGTATAAGTTGCTCCTTTTTGGGTACTTACAGTTTAGTAAATTGATGCTGCATTATAAGTACTCAATAAACACTGTTTTATGATGATTTGATATAGCAATAGAAATTAAATCTGAAGACTACATGGTGTAAGTATAAGTGACACAATTTTTTAAAATTTTTTAAGATTGTATTTGCTTGTTTATTTATTTATCTATCTATCTATTTATTTATTTATTTATTTATTTATTTATTTATTTTTGAGAGAGAGTCAGGGGAGGAGCAGAGGGAGAGGAACAAGCCGACTCTCCACGGAGTGTGGAGCCCGACAGGGGGGCTCGATCCCATGACCGTGAATTCAGGACCTGAGCTGAAACCAAGAGTCAGACGCTTAACCGACAAAGCCACCCAGGTGCCCCAAAAGTGACAAATTTAATTAGCAGAAAATTATATTGATAAATGAAAGCTTGTATTATGACTACATAATACAATTACATAAACAAATTACATAAACAAATTATATAAACAAATTACATAAACAAATTACATAAACAAATTACATAAACAAATACATAAAATATAAAGAGCATACACAAACTTTTTATTTCCACCCAGTTGCATTTTCAGCGTACTTGCATAAAAAAAGTCATTCTCACAATTTTCCTACGTGGACATATTTATGAACCAGATTTTTAAGGAAGAAGAGACATGATATGTGGATCATGATATAATTATTATCAAGGAATTATATTCAGAATGTGACCTATGTGTGTTCACTGATGTTTGTGGATACAACAAAGGTTTTTAAAGGTATTTACTTAATATTAACTGCAAAATTTAGAGCCAAATTTCCTTGAAAAATGTAATCACCGAAAATAACAGGTGATGAAAAGCTGCAAAGCTGTTAATCTTTCTTCTCTATCTGTTGTCCTTCCAAAATCTTGCCACTGAAAGAAGCCACTATTTACACAGGTTGTGGTAAAAAAGACTGATGTGTAGCCAAGAATTCGTCTTACATTCTACATAGTGATAATCCAAGTAATAGCTAAATCCTCACAGCAAGTTGCAATAATGAGAAAAAAATGCTTTCAATTCCCTCTTTGCAGTTATTATTAAATTGAATTTTATAATTTTTCATAAATATATTTAAAATAACATTTTTGGAAGCCATTTATGCTCATAAAGAGTTTGGGGCATCTTCAAAAATAAAGTCCTTTCAGGGGCGCCTGGGTGGCTCAGTTGGTTAAGTGACTGCCTTCGGCTCAGGTCATGATCCTGGAGTCCCTGGATCGAGTCCCGCATCAGTCTCCCTGCTCGGCGGGAAGCCTGCTTCTCCCTCTGACCCTTCCCCCTCTCACGTGCTTTCTCTCTCTCTCATTCTCTCTCAAATAAATAAATAAAATCTTTAAAAAAAAATAAAGTCCTTTGTAAAGTAATTTTATCTTGATTTTATTATTTAAAAAAATAATTCAGTTATCTACAAATGATACACTCACTAATTTTTTTAGGGATGAAAGGAAGGAGCCAAGAGTGAGTCACAATTTTATGGCTGTGAAGGACAGAACTATAACAACTGAAAATGAAAGGGTAGGAATCCAAGAGTTGATGAAGCCTTGGTAATTAAGCACAAAAATTTGGAAGAAAACAAAAGTCAGTACAAATCCAAAAATTTCTAGAAAAGAATAACAAAAAATTTGGGTACTTATGAATTGCGTCTTATCTCTACATCCACAAGTGGTTAATAAATGGAAGTGTTTAATAAATGCTTGTTAAATAAATGTAGTTTGTTTGAACTTAAACCATTCATTGGGTTATACTGTACCACTCCTCAGGAAAGAGCGCCCTCAGGAAAATAAACAAAACTGGTATAGAAGGCACTGTTTGTTCTTTGTGAAAACTGATGGACATTAGCCAGTATCTAAACTTGAATCATAACACAGGCAAATACTGCAGTTATAATCAGAGAGTCCACTCACTAGGAAAACTGTCTCTCCATGGAGGTCATAAAATTGAATATGTTTAATAAAATTGTGTAAATGTTTAATAAAATAAAATTATAAAATAAAAATTCTAAGAAATAGAATGATGTTATAAAATGAAAAAGGATTACTGCTAAAGTATTTCTTTCTGAAAAAGACGGACAAGATTAACTGTGTTAAAAAAAAATGCTGAAAATTTCTTAATTATTTTCCCCAACTAGGCTTAGAATAGTGTAGGAAAACAAAAGAGTCTAACTCTGAAATTGTTGAAACATTAATTAATAATATGTTGATTTTATTAAGGCTAGGATATTTACTATTTGAAACAAATGACAGGATGTTTTAATGTTAGATATAATCAGTTCTGTTTTACCATCTTATTTTCATATTATAATTTACTCAGCAAAAGACCTTCGGAAAATCTATTCATTCTTCCACCACAAGTTGAATCTGGAATTAAAGGTCATATTTAACAGACATTGTCAGTCCAGTGGAATGTTAGGCATGAAATTCTATTTTCCCATTGGTTACTGTACTGATCATTAGTTTTTTGGAAATTACTGTTACCATAAACAGCAAGCCAAAATGTTCAAGAAAAAAAGGAAAGGTTAAAATGTTAAAAGAGCAAACTATTTTTCATTTGTTGAAGTTCTGCTTAGCTAACAAGCTTAGATATCATCTCTCTTACAGGTATTTCCTGCCAGTTAATAAGTGACTTGTGTTCTTCAACTCCCAAAGCTGATGACTGAGCAGCAGGAAACTCCCTCTCCAGTGATGACTCCTGAAACACAGCCCAAGATATCTGAATCCACAGAATGCGGTGTTCGCTGTCATCATGGAATGTCAAGAAGACCGCTATAAAAATTAAAGGAATTCAAGCACACCGAGTCTGTAACCTGTGCTACTCTTTCAATGAAATCATTTTGAAAACATACAGATGACCATGTTACACAAGCATATGTTCGATGCGTCCCAGTAATCTTAAGTCTTGGGAAAGGAGTTTTAAGACAGTGTTAAAGAAAATGTGAGGACACCCAGATATAAATCCTGGGGAAGGGGGACAAGAGATGTGCATGTTAGTCCAACTGCCTTGCTACTTACTTTTTTTTTTTTTTTAATTTTCAGTTTCCTGCCCTTATATTAAGTGAAGGGACTGGCCTAAGTTGGGAAACAAACAGAAATGCCTCCTAGAGTCAGAAGGCCATCTAAAGATGAAAGCGGGCTGGGGTAAGAAGAATACGGAGTAGTAAGGGCTGAGGAGAATGCCCGTCCCTCGGTAAGGAGCGGGCACCACCTAGCTGCAGCTGTGTTGGCCTGGAAGCAAGACTAGCCTGGGCTTTGTTTCTTGTTTGCTAGCAAATCCAAAAATTTATTTTTATTTGAAATCTGATTTTTTAATGTTGGAAATAAATCATTATTTAAAAGCATTGTGTGGAACAAATGTAAATAAATGAGAACTAAATGCTGCCGCCATCATGGATGTCTAAGGGCTAAATGAGCTCACAAGTGGCTGGTTGACTCCCTATGGCCCTGGAGATCTCTAGCAGGTCTTTTCCAGTGTCATCCAAAGTGTGTGCTTCAGAAGGCTGGACCCTCATGATTTTTTGGACTAGTTTCAGGGACTGGCAAATTCTCTCTGAAAGGGCCCGACAGTAAAAATGTTAGGATGGTGGGCCATGTTACAGACAACCACCACCACCAACTCTGCCCCGGTAGCACAGAGGCAGCTACAGAAATACAGAGCCTCCTATGCACGGCTGTGTTGCAATAAAACTTTATTTACAAAAACAGGTAGCCTGCCATAGGCCTTCCTAGTTTGCCAACCCCTGGTCTAGAGGATTTCCTAGAGAAGTTTAGGAATCAATCCATATATATCCCTCACATTTTATCATACTAATGTATCCAAGAAGCAAAGCAGGAAAGAAACCCTATTACTTTTGTTTAAAGCAAATATAATATTTATGCCCTGGAAAGCTAGTGTTTTCCCACAGATCACTTCTGGGCCTTCATACTCCTCCTCTGGGCAAGAATTAGCTCACCACTCTAGTATGTCTTATCTTCTAGTCCTCCTTATTCCAAAACACAGCCTAATTTATACTTGTAAGAGACACAGCTCTAAAACTGAATTTCCTGGGTTCACCTCCTGGCTCAGCCACTTACTGATTGACACTGGATATGTTACTTAATTTCTTTGTGCCTTAGATTTCATATCTGCAAAATGGGGTTAGTAATAAAACCCACATCATGGGATCTATGTTGTAGAAAAGAGTGAATATGTGTAAAGGGCTTAAAACAGTACCTAGAAAATATGTATTGAATATTGAAGTATATAATTTAAGTGTTAGCAGTTATTAATATACCTGCTCAAAAATTTTTTTTGGTTGTCATAGTCCTCAAATATTGCCCCGTAGAAAGGCAACTATTAAATGGTCTATATTATGACTTTCTAATGATGACCAAGGATGTGGTGAAAACAGGCCACTGTTTTCAGTGAGTAAAGATAATCACCCTGGATATAGGAAGAGTATCACTGCCCTCTCGCTGTTCACCATCCCACACCAAACACACACACTTGATCTTCTCAATTTCCTCACTTGAGTGAAAGACTTCTCCGGGGTCCCTAACCACCCTCTGCAGCTAGTCAGACTGAGAGGATGCTGGGGAACACCATTAGCTCTTACAGAGTTCTGCAGCCTTCTCCTGGAACATGCTTGTGGTTTACCCTCTGTCCAACAACCCACAAGGAAATACCTCTCAAATCACATCACTTCATAGCCTCCCACCATTTGCAGGAGCACCGTGGACCACACAGAGGGATGGGTGACTTACACTGAGAGTTAGGTGACAAAAGTTCCCCAGAGCAGAAGAGCACACACAGGTCAGGGAAATGGAGGAGGTGGTCTCAGGTCTTCAAAGAGGTCCTACTTTGTTCAAAGTATTGGGAATGAAGTTCTGATAAAATCCACTCCAAAGTCACATGAGAATTACTTTTTAACATCAGACCCCTCCTTTCCTCTTTTAATGAAAGTTATCTCTGTGACTAAAAAGTATTTATCATCAACACTTTAGATTTATCATAGGACATTCAAAAGTGATAATGAAACTTCTACTTTTTGTATTTCAATCAGTCCTGTAATAAAATAAAGACTTCCATATGTACATAGAGAATGTTTGATAGAAGTCTATTTTTATATAATGTTGTTATATAAATTATTTTCCGAAATATTTTGCATTTAGCTACTTCCAGTAATATCACATTTCATGTTTCTCAGAGAGCAACCATAGAAACAAACAACAAATGCTCATTTTCAAACAGAGAAAAAAAGTTGGAAAAAAAATGTGATAATTTCGGATTAACAAAGATTTTTCCATAAAATGGACAGCTTTGGTATTTTGTCCTGGCTCAGTAAATACCATTCTTTTTCAGTGGTGGTTGTTTATTTAAATAACATAATGGAAATTTCATAATAATCAACTTTTTATTGTATCTTCTTTGTGATTAAAAATAATAACTTACTAATTTCTTTTGCTTCAGTCCCTGTGTTAACCATTCTATTTGTGGTATGACAGTTACAACTTTTGTTACGTCAATAATAAACTGTGTAACATTTTATGACATAAGGAAAACTTTAAAACGGTACAACCAAAAGCTCTGATTGAATAAAGAAGGCCTGTAATCAAATGTATACTATGTATGGCTGAGCATATAACATTTTAAAAATCAAAAAGCTCATTAATGACAACTACATATGTATGTATATATATATTTACACACATACATGCACACACATATTATGCATATACATAGACACATGTACGTGTGTATGATTTCTTGTGGACCAACATTCATAGAATAATGCTTTTAAAAGGGGGAGGGGGATAATATGCCCAGACTTACCACAGCTTAGGTTGCTTTCTGCTTTCAGAGCTAGGGTGGGGATATTCCAGAAGTCATTTTGCCAGTCGACCACATTCCCTTTCACATGACAGCTGAGGTTGGAGAGGACTTTGGAATTCATGGTAAAATTCCAAAGTCGAAAGTTATAAATGTCCCCTTTTAGGGAGGCAATCTCATTGTGACTGGAGCCTAACAACAACTTCCCATTTCCAGGAATAACTTTACTGATGGTAGAATCGCACGGAACTGCTTCATAGTTTCTTTTGAAATTTACACCAACAGAACCCAGAGAATTATTCCAAATGATGCAGAGCTGCTCAAAGCTTTCTGTGAAAATGTCTTCTTTATCCTTCACAGGTAACACGCTGTTTAGGAAGCATTTTGAGCCAGAAATAGAAATAAAGTAGCCATTCTTGGCCTTTCCAAAGCTAAGTAACTGTGTGAAGGATGTATCTGAGTAGGAGAAAGCTATCCATTCATGGTCTTCCTTGCCAATTTTGGTTGCTTCAAAACAGAGAGTGAAAGCGCTGAGCTCTGGAATAGAGACACTTTTGGCAACAGATACCTGGTAACTATCTAGCGTCTGGGGTAAAATGACCTTCTGGTTCCTTAAGGACACAGCAACTAGGACAAAACATAATAACAGATAAAACATATTAACTTCAAATATGAACTAATGAGATGCAAACCATCTGATATGCCCACCCCCACCCCACCACTCTGGACTGACTGACTTTTGACATCACACCTCTTTCATGACTCTCTCTCACCAACCCATCACCTTGTACCAATAATACTAACAATATGTAACCCCACCCATATTAATTCTAATCATGATGGGATCTCACTCCAAACCTTTTGAGTTATAGTCAACCAAGTTGATAAGTATTTTCTTTAAATCCCTGACCTGAGAGAAAAACATAAACAAAAAACAAAAAAATCCCCCAAACCCAAACTAAGGAAACTACTTTTTCAGGAAAGCTCTGTTTATACATTAAGATTTTCAGAAATATGTTACTTTTCAAATAATTTTCTAAACATAATAGCTAATAGTTCTATTTTTCATTAACAATAGACTTTTACGCTTCCTAAACACTCCTATGCTACACACTCCCCTTCAGATACCCCATATCTTATTCATTTGCCCCACCACCAGGCTATTTCAGGAACAAAGGTAAAGATAATCCTATTAAGGAGAGGTAGTCTAATAAAAAAAATAAAAATGGGATTTTAAGCTATATTTCCTTTACGGTGGGGCATCTGAGCTCCTTTGCGAAGGAGAGCAAGGAGCAGAGAAGGGGCAGACAATGCAACTTCCTATCCCAGCTCTTCCACAAAATGCACTGTGACCTTGGACATGTTACTTCACCACTCTCGATCTCAGTCTCCTCATCCATAAAATGAAGGACAATGACACCTACTGCACAGGTGGTCAATAGGAATTAAGTTAATACCTGGAAAGCACTAGAACAGTGCCTGCTATAGCAAATATATAGCTAGGATTGATTACTAATGTTACTGAATCCTAATACAGATTACTATTATTATCTGCATAATATATTCCAAATAAAATGCATTAGCCTAGTCTTTTTGTGACATACGTGAAATTATTGAATTATACAATGGATTTCACCTCATGGTAATATAACAGACATCATGAAACATGTACTGATTGAGACAGATGTAGCTCTCCTCAAAAATTCTGTTTAATGCTAGCTTCATAAGGAATGCTAGTTTGAATATTTTTTAATATACACCAAGAACCAAGAACAGGTCTATGGTAAAAACAGCACTTTAATATAAATATTCTAGTTAAAAATCCATGATGGAATTTAATAGAATCATGGATTTTAGTGTACTTTTTAAATATAAAGCACTTTAGAGGTCTATTTACCCAAAGGGATATTTATGTATATGAACCCAGTATTCTACATGTATTATTAAAAGGGCTGAAAGGAAATATGTCCATCAACATTTTATTAGTGGTTATGGCTGGGTTATAGATATATGGGCAATTGTACTTTGCTTCTTTTTTATTTTCAAATTTCCTATAATATTCTACATTTTTTAAAACATTATTTGAAAAATTAAAGCACGTTTTCCAATTAACTACACATACATCTAATGTCAATCACAAACAGTAAATAACCCTGCCACCAAAAACACAATTTATAATAATGAGGGTCATTTTCATAATGGTGCCTTTCTCTTTTGTTTCTTTTTTCAGACATGACACCTACTTAAGAAGCTAGTCTTGAAGCTAGCTTCAAGTTTTAGAGAGACTGAGATTATTCAAAAGTTTTACTATGCCAGGATCTGGGAAATATGTTTGATGGAAATATTTTTTTCCCTTTCATTAGTCGTTTTTAAGGGGCTTTCCTCAGGCTATGTTGTTTATTAGCTTTAGTTATAAATAGCTCTTTTTTATTTTAATTTATATGCTAATTTTTTTATATTTGTCCCCCAGCATAGTTCCTCAAAAGGGTAACATCTTAAAAGCCTAAAATAAAATGATTTCTGAATAGGAATGTTTTAAATGTTCGGTGAAGAGCTGTCAGAATTACAGCTTTTAATTATTAGCTGTGGAATATCGACAATATCTTCCAAGCAGCCTTTTAAATGTTCTGCATATAAACAATATAAACAAATTCAGCTCTACTGTAACCAGATTTTGGATCTGGTAACTACATATTGCTAATGAGAATGTTCAGAGAATATTAACAGATTCTTGCCCTTAAATTCTAATCCTAATCATTCACATTCACATAAAAGCGCATAACTCTGTCTTCTGGTCCTGGTGTTTACTGTAGGACATGTTAAATGAAAGCAGAAGTTTGGCGCTGCCTTTGGTTTACATACCTCTGATGTAGCTGGCATTGAAACCTTTCTTCTGGATGCTAAAGTCGCTTGAAAAGGACACATGCATCTCATTCGCACTTGAGTTAAATGATAGGCCTTTGGCAGTTGCGCCACAAAATTTAGTCTGGCTCTCTCCATTATCAAGGGATAATGAGTCATAAATGCAATTGGGAGCTTCTTCAATGTCGAAATCATTAAATGTTATCTGAATGATATAGCCGGTGGGGGCTCGCAGGGTCCACATGCAAGCCTGGCTGTTAGGGTAGTCGTTAGGGTAGCACGGAGAAGTAAATGTCCCAGAAGGGCTGGATAGGACAACCCTGCAGTTGGCGCATCCCCACACTGTTGGCCAGACAAGAGAGAGACAGAGAGAAGGGCAGGGATCAGAGGCATACAATAAACTGAGAATACCACACGCTGGGGACAATCAAACAGTAAGCATTTTAAAATACCAAAATACAATCATGCAAAATAAAAGGAGAATGAAACCATCCCAAGGAGAAAAGGAAAAAGCAAGAGAGGAACCAAAGGTAAAAGAAAAAGAGAAAATTTTAGAGCAATGACTCTTGAACTTGGGGGGTCATATACTCTGAGAATCTGATGAAAGTTACTGCAACTCTCTGTCAAATGCCTAGAAGCCACTACACTTGGTATACTGTTTTAGGGAGTACACGAGGCCCCAGGAGGCAACAGTGGATTTCCCAAAGGTTCACTGGCCCAGGTTAAGGATCTCTATTCTAGAGAGTAATTGCACTGGGGTAAGGGAGTTATAGAACCATAAAGGTAGACAGAGGTCAATATTACAACCATGGATATAAAGGAAGATAAATACTTAGGAAATAAATGTTTAAAGAGAAGTCTACTAACACAAAATAAATAAATAAGCAAGTAAGTTATCTTCTGGCAGGTTGTACTTTTTCCTAAAATTCAAATAAATAGCATCACCTTGCAGGTGTGGAATATTTATAGTTTCGAAAATACTTTCACTTATTTCATTTGTTCATTACAGTTGTTAAGTCTATACTTATGTGATTATCTCATTCATTCATGCATGCAGTGAATATTTATTGGGTGCCTGTTACATGCCAGGCACTATTCCAAATAGTATATGTTAATCAGCAAGAAAGACAAAGTCTATGTCTGAATGATTCTTACATGTCAGTTCTGGGCCCAGAGATGAACAAATACTATAATGACAGATGGTAGTAGGAGGTAGGAAGAAAGTAAAGCAATCTACTCTTTCTCAATTATGAGTCATCTGGGGCCTGGTCACCAGCTGGGAAGAGAAACCTAGGTCTACTGTCTTCCTGTCTGGTGGTGCTTTTGCAATTAATATTCAAGTTTCTTTTAAATATCTGTATAAATGTAGGCAGTAATTTCATTTATTCAACATTCTGGATAAATAAACCACCATAAAACTTACACATACACTTTAAAACAACAAAATACTTTAACCGTGTTAATGGAAATCACTCTAAATTTGTGTTCCTCCCTCTTTTACTGGGCTGAGTAGAATAAATATGCAATAACTTTTCTTGAACATGGTAGTTACCACCAATACTACTACTTCTTCTATGATACAGTGATGATATGCAAGGACTTACCAGATATGTTACACCGCTCAGGTTAGGTTTTTCTTTTTTCTTTCCCCTGTGGCCACCTTGTGTTATGCACCATATCCTTGACAACTCTGCTCCCCACCAATTCTTTCTAACTTGCCCTCCCTCTGCTCTTCCTCCCTATGTCTTCCATGTCTTATATGGGGCCAAAGATGGAGGAAAACAAATTCTGATCTCCAAGTGTTAGCCAAATGCCTTCTCTCATGCACCTCTGGAGTACCACGTTCCTCTCTGTAGCTTCAATCAGAGCAGTTGTGTTACTTCCACTTGTGATATTATTTGCTTATTGTCTGTTTCTCCCACTATTCTCTGAGCCCACCAAGCAGAGTATATACTGTTCTATTCATCATCTTACTCCTCAGGACCTCACTGCATCCCTGGTACATGGAAGACTTTCAATAAAATTTGTTAAATTTGTAAACGAATAGCTTAAATCATGTCTCAATTAAAGAAGGACTAAATACAGTACATGAAACTAAGCCAAACAAAGTCCAAGTCAGAAAAAAGACAGTGCATGAGCTCTGGAATGTCCCTGTGGATGGGGCTTTGGGGCTCTTTCTTCCAACTGTTTCACTCATAGTATAAGATTGAGAACACTGGGCCTCTCTCACCCTTTAGCTTCCTCTTACTGTACCTTGGGCCCAAGAGAGAGGTAATCCTAGTAAATTAAAAATAATGTACACAGTAAAAGGAACTGAAGATTAAAAAAGTAAAAGAGAAAGGAAAATAAGGTACAATCTCTGTGTCATCTCAACATGCGTGACGCACCATCATTTTTCCAAAATAAAACGCCATCCCTTACATCCAAAACCCAAGTAATGTTCATGACTTCCTTTATCCTGATGTATATATTTTTGGCCAATTCTTCTCTAAGAGCTGAATGAAAAGCACTGGAATGTTCAACCTGACTGAGCACATGGACTCTGCAATCTTGAACAAGTTAATCTCTCTGTGCCTCAATTTCACTACCTTCATTTCACACTGGTGGCAATAGAAGCACCCACCTCCCACAGTTAGTGAGAGGATTAGATAGGTTAATATTGGAAAGTCCTGGGAGCCACACCACAGAAGTGCGCCAAGTGTCCTGGGAGCACCATATACGTGTTGGCTATTGTTAATCATTACGATAACACAAAACCCGCGCATCGATAACTTCAGAGATAAAAACAGCATCCCGCTTTAGTAGAATCTCTTTTTCCTTTTAGCACTCATTGGGATGAAAAAGTGAAAAACACCATAATATTCATTTAAAACCCACTTAAAGCATTCTATGATTCTCATCTAAAGTCACTAGACAGAAGTTAGAGAGGGCTCCTAAATAGCAATTATCTTAGTTGGATGAAAAATCAATTACACTAGGCACAGGATCATTACGTTCATCATATCTGTAATAACTTCACAGTAAAGGGCTTTCACATATATTATCTCATTTGACATCAAGAACAACCCTGGGAGTTAGTACCACCTCCATCTTCAGATGAAATTAATAAGGCTAACAGATTATATAACTTGTTCAAAGTTACACATCTAATTGATAAGAGGACCAAGACTCAAACCAGCTGTTCTAAATGTAAGTCTAGTGTGTTTCTACAGGAAAAGAAAAGTTTCCACCATATGGTGATTTGAATTTGCCTATTTAAAGCAATCAATTGTCACTGTTAATTGATTCCTATACAATGAGCTAGTTCACTGAGAACTTAATTCCTTCCCCCTAAAAGGCACAGCTACTTAAAAAGATAGCTACTGAAGTAGCCACTGAACGTGGTCTCGGTAAAACCAGAATTAACATATTTTCTAAGATACTCAACTCAAAACATCCGGTTCAAATTGTTTTCAAAGACCAATGTCGTAACATATTCACACCTCTAAATCTATAAAAGCAAAGCTTTCTGGTAATCTAAACAACAAACCAAATTCCACCCTCGGCTCTTGCCTATGCTTGCAAATGTTTAGCAATGATTGACTCATGCTTATTTCACAAAACTTTATTCTTCAAAGAAACTCAAATCTAAGACGGAAAACCTCACAGTCATGCCAAAGCCTGTTTCGATTTATAAGAAACATTTAGACCCAGATTTAATAATCACGACCTTCTGTGTTTTTTGTCATTGTTGTTTTATCTCAGAGATTTGGGTTCTCATCCCACCCTTTCCTCAAGTCCTTCCCTCTAAATCAAATAGTATCTTCTTTAAAATCTAAGGCTGGAGTATCAGGTTCCAAAAGATAAATCAAAAGAAATCTATTTTAGCTGCTTTCAACACAGATCTGTAGACGGAATAACTGTTTTTCCTCTACTGTGTTAAATGATGAGCAGAATGAATGCATTTAAATGAAATCTTGCTTTTTATTTGAATGCATCTCAAACTGCTAATGAACCTGTTGGAAAACGTCGCTGGTGAAAATCAGCTCAGAAAATTTTGCTTAAGTTGCCTGCTCAGGATGCATCTATTCAAAGTCATTGTTTGAATTATCTATGTGATATATTAAAATCTAATGAATACAGTTTATTAGTTGCTTAAAAAGGTTTAAAATATTTAGTAGCTTCGGTTGGTTTATGAAGATTTAGTGGAAAGGTCAACAACTGAGAATTCCAGGATCTGTTCTAATGCCTCAGTCATCACAAAGCCAGGAGCAGCCACACAGGATTTCTCCAGATCGAGTACAATGCTACCAGTCATAACATCACCGAACTGTCAAATAGAAATAATACTTTAGATGCCTGCATGTATTAGTTGACTGATAATATACAGAACTACATATAATATATAGTCATCAAAGTAAGTGTTCAAATTTAAGTGATTTCAGGCCTCTGTGCATATTTTTTCAGGATGGCAAGGAATCTGAAGGCAGTCTGGCTGTGACATCTGCGTTTCTGTTAATGTGACAGACTTGGCAAGCATCCCCACCTTCCCTTGCCATTCCTCTTCAAGCTCTGCACTCAGAGATAACATTTCCATGGAGGGGAGGATCCCTCCTAAACCAGAGTTACAGTGGTCATTCCAATCTCCTGCCGGAATTTCCAGCAGCCGAGCAAGGATATCAATTTGCTCCCAAATTCCTCCTCAAACACTGGTTTCCCCGGGGTTAGACAGAAAATGGTTTGATTTCCCACTGTAATGTTTCAGCCTCAAAATGTTCTTCGGAGGCACCATGAATATGAAGCCATCACCGTGACTTGCGTTATTAGTTTAAAAGGGTAGTGCTTTACTTGAATCTGTTTAAGTTTGACATAGCTAGAATATTAACAAGAAGTTGAAGGTTCCTCAGTGAAGCACCATCAAACCGACAATTTTTTTGCATCTCCAAAGAGATTCACATGCACCACACTTTCAGATACATTTCTGTCTTCTATAATATTGTTAATGTTTAAACTTCAAGTCTTGCCTTTCCATAACGACCAGAGCGTAAGAACATTCCATATGTAACTGTGAAAGGTAATACTTTCTGGTTCCAAACACGTGAACTGCTGGAAATCCTTCCAGACTCACTTTATTATGTAGCTATATTTCCCTTGCAAGGAGATTAAGCATACAAGCATGTGTGCATGCATATGCACACACACCCACACACATTTTCATGGGAAACCGTTCTCTCTTAACCAGTGGTTGAATCCTTCTCCAGCTATTAAAAAAAAAAAAAAAAAAAAAAAACAATCTAAAGGCAATGCATAATTTTAAACAAACTAAAGCTGCGGGGCCCATCACTTAACCTACCTTTTGGTTA